ATTTACAAGCATATTTCTCTCTTACATTATTGATTTTTATTGCGAAATTTAGAAAACACAGCGCGCAGTTACGTCAAAACCTATTAAAATTTTCGAAACAAGAGAGCCAAGAACACGAGGTCTAGATTCGATCGAGTGTAAACGAGGAAATCAGTGCGTATCTTAAAAAGATCTAGTCGTTCGAGCGATAATTCAGCGGAACCGTCCGTAATTCAATACGCAGTATGCTTAATGGAGATCGAATTACAGAGACACCTTAATTCGATCCGATGGGCGAAAAGACGAATTTGTCAAGACTCTCGTTTACGTGGTTCCGAATACTAGCACGCATACTCGATCAATGATATAATTGACCTCGTTTGCTAAAAAGATTCGTCCGAAAAATTTCTACGAAACACACTAATATGCTTTGAAATAAACTTTTGCAGAACGATTAGCAATTGTCGATTTATCTCCGTTATTTTCTGAAAACATTATACGTCTTGTGAAATGAATATTTAAAAAATGAAATCAGAATCTCCGTTTTAGCACTCGCATTCCATTCGCAATCAACCGATTAATAATAATTTATCAAATTTCGCTTGCTGAATAGCAAAAATCATTAGCGATAACCGATCGCTAAAATATTGCTCAGAAACTTTTGGCATGATATATAAATCATTCGATTATTTTGCTGCTTATATAAACTTTACCAAAAATCTGCATTTGAAGTCGCCTGATTGTTATCAATTTTATGATCTTATCCCATTTTTTATCAGAAACAGTTCGAAAGACGAAAGACGAATGGAATGAAAAATTGCTAGTATATGGAAAACATTTTTTAGACACGACTGATTAAAAAATATTTCGCATTGTGAGGCAATTACAAATCACTCCAATAAATTACGGTTCCTTTCTTCATTCGTGTTAGTCGCTGTTTTGTTGAAATTTTTAATTAAGAGGAAAAGGAGTGCTCCGCGATTTTAATAATTATCACACCTGTATAATTGAATTAATTTACTAACTGATACAATTAATAAAAATATTTTTACATTTGTTTATTGTGAGATACTTTTTTCAATTTGAATTCTAATAATTAAATAAATATTGATAATTAGTCAATAAATTACAGTGAAATAAAAGTAAGCACAACCTTAATTTTACTTTTGGACAAACATTTTTTTTCAAAGTCTTTTCCCGCTGTTAAAGTTACGTTGTCTACACTTACAAAAAAAATATTTCGCTGATGTAGTTAGATTTCTAGATATCGCAACAAGAATGTATCGCTATTTTTCGTATCTGTGAAAACATTGTTTGTCACATATAGAATTTATAGCAGTAATGTTCTAGCAATAGCTTCTGAAAAATTTAGGTACCATTGCTAAATGTTATTCATTGCATGATCTAACACGTGATTGATCTTATATAGATAGGCGCTTTAGAGAAATTTTCTTTTTAAAGTTCACAAACAATACAGATATATATTCTGTTTCTGTCATCTAAACTGATTAAGTAATTACATATGCAATATCACAACAGTTGCTAATCATTTATCTGTTTTAGTTAATTTTTTACACCTAGAAAATTTTAGCTATTATTGCAAGATTATTTTTTTGAGTGTAGATATACATATACATCCGAATCAAACTGTTATCAACTTCTTTATTTTTGGAGAGACTTCTATATCCGGTTGGCAGCCAACAAAGGGAAAGAGACATATCAAAGACTACTTTGTGAACGTAACACATGGGTGATACTTTGTTGCAACTACGCAGTTACAGATAACGCGCTGATAATATTTTATGAAATACTAAGCTAGAATTTTTTCCAGTATAATTTTAAAGTTTTCGTATTATAGGATATAACGAAATTTTTATGAAAAATATAATAATTACAATTTGTCATTATTTTTTATAAAGATAAACTTTGTTTTATATTAAAAAATATCTTTCATATACTTTTAAAAAATTGTATGTAAAAATAATAACTTTATTTTATATTATTGACATAGGAAAAATTTTATTATATAATTTTTATACACAAGTTTTTAAAATTTTAACTATATTTCAAATGAAACTCCGTGAAATGAGTTTTCGTATACTCGGCATAAAATGCTTTTGGAGTCTTCGTTCGTACCGTCCCTTCCAATTCATGGGAAGTTTTCTCTCCGTGCTACAAAGTGCTGGAGCAAATGGTTCAGAGTAGTTTGTGGTCGCTACGAAACGCAGACGAACGTTTGACTTCGTGAAGATGTAAACCCTTTACATGTGGGAGGTACAATGTTGCTCAGGCATCTGCTACATTGTGGCGCTGCCGCCAAGCCACTCGAGGTCGGTCCCCTAACCGTTTCTACATTTCCTCATTAAGTTTCTAGGGCCGTAACTATGTTGCAGAGATCGGCCTACAGCTATTAATAAAAAGCGAGTTTTATAAAATAACGAATACTCCGAATAATATTTCATGTTCTGACAAGATCGATAGATATATTATATTTAAAAAAAAAGTGTTCTTGACAGTTTGTTAATGGTAGTTTTTACACAAAGTTGCATCACGCCGTTAGTCACTAAATTAAATCTAGATAGTGAACGAAAATTATAACGGAATCTGTTTTTTAAGTCAATTATAAAATTACATAAAAAGTTGCACAAAAAATTATTTTATATGTTATTGCTTCATAAAATTAGAAAAATACATCTTTCAAAGCAGGAAGTTGCAATTTATAATTAGTTTCTTATTGTTTTATATTTTTCACGGATTCTTTGTTTGGAATTTTAAAATGTAGAATGGGTTGCGTTAATCTTAAAATGAACTATGTAGATTTTTTGAAGGCAGTGGTGTTAGTAATAATTCTCGGAAAAGCCGAGATGGCACGAAGATTGCCTCAGACCAGTTTCTTCTACATTGTGTGCTTAGAGTCTTTACCGTATCCCAGCGATCATAATATTTGAGCGGGAAAAAGAAAAAATATTTTTTTTTTCTAATTTGAATGTAATGTTTATTTGAAATTTTTCAATTTTTTGATTTTTTAAAATTAAATTAATCTTATTGCAAGAAAACGATCGTTAGAGTTAAATTATTAAAATCTTTATTATATTGCTAAAACTACTTTTTTAGATTACACTTGCATGTATGCAGTATTCATACATTACGAAATTATGACGAAAAATTTATGAATATAAATAAATCTACTTACGTCCTGGCTAGTTTAAATTCAAACGGCTACGTTAATTAAACACGACGATTTAATAAGCACAAAAATATACTATCTGGAGATCTTGCTTTATAAGGAAAGCTGTCTACGCTCGTAAAAAGAAAGAGTATCTTAATGTAAATGTTGCAATATTTCTATGCTAAACAATTGACATTCATCTTGACAGTGGCGGCATCGCCACTGCCGCCACTGCTGTGAAAGAGATTAACATTAAGACTTGTCATAGTTATATATCGCAAGCAGCATTTCAATGAAGCCATCGCGTTCCCTTTGTAGATGCCTTTGATGTAATATTTTCTCGGAGCATTCATACCAGCTGCTACATTGTTGTGTAGCTCGGCCCCTACCTTACCATTGGCTAAGATACAATTGCTGTCGAAGGAATGTAAGAGAAAAGAATACCTTTTTCATTATTCTAAATACATCTGCGCCAAACTGGCACATTGTAATGTATAATTGTTTTGTACATGTATTTAAATGTATATCATATACCTATTCTTTGTTCCAGATCTTGTTATCTTCATATGCGAATTATTATATCTTCACATATGAATAAAATTTATGATATATTTATTTCTCTTCGAAATTTGGCAATGATTTTTTACACGCACAAATTAATTCTTTACGCTCTGAATACCGCTTGAAATAGTCCGATCGCTTGTTAGGCTGTTTTTAGCGTTGGCATTAATGCTGCAACAGTAATATCGTAAATTTTAGGCATCTTTTTTAATGAGGTGCAGGAAGGACACGTTTGTCAGTTGCGATAGACGCGTCGAGGTTCGTAAATGAGAAACTTGAATGCCTCGCGCGGATTTTCTCACACGCACCAGCCGCGTGCTTGCTTATTAGTGATGCGCGGCAAAAAGGATCACGAGGAGGAGGATCGTACGAGAATGATCGTGCAGTTCTCCCTCGCTTATTGTTCTTATTCAATGCAGCTTCAATAATTAAAAAAATTATAGATTAAACGTTTATTTTTTATTTTTACTACTGTATTTCGATGGAGTTGATATTAAAATATCATGCTACAAATAAAATTACAATTTTATAGCTGTATCAATTCTGATCTATGTTTACTCTTAGCTACGTCTTTCACTGTTTCCTAGTCGAACTGCTGTCCTTTTTTATTAAAATTATTAGTGATTGAAACGCATGCTACCACTTCTCTCATCATCAAACAGCCTACCTTCTCTTACAGTCTGCAAGTTACACGATAATCTTATCAAAGTTCTAAGAAAGGCGGTTCAAATGTATTGGCTACCACCAGACAATCCGTGCTGTCAGCTTCGTCAACTGCCTATATGATACTCTGTGCCTGCGTTTTGTCACGCGCATAAATTTACGCTTCAGTAATAACATTAAAATTTGCAATTCTTACAAAATTTTCCATTTATATTAAAGATACCATAAAAATATACAATACATACAATTGTTATTTTTTATTTACAAACAAAATTTAGCTTGTTAATAGATTATTATTCTTGTTGATTTATTATCTATAAGAAACAGAAAGATAATTTTGTAAAATTACAAATTACAATAAACATTGTCTAGTGAAAAACAAAGTAAAATAACTAAAATACCCATTAATAAATTTTGAATATAAAATATTAAATAGTAGAGAAAGTTTATATAAAATTAAATCTTCAAAAAATCGTTTTTTTGCGTTTTAAAGTAATAAGTACAATCGTGCATTTAAAATGCACGCAATTTCTTTTGTATTGAGCAATCCATTATCTGATATATATTATCGCTCATCTTTTATTACAATTATTATTCTCCGGTATTAATAATTTTTCTTTCATTTCAGGCTAGTCGTGCACTCGCAAGTGGCGAACATCTCTTACCGTGTCCGAGATGCACGTTTCCCTGTCACGTGGACAATGAAAAAAATGTGGGAACCTGCTCGAGACAGGGCTGCTCTATCGAATTCTGCAGCTCCTGCTCGTCGAAGCCGCACACGGGCCCGTGTAAAACGCCCTTATTGGCCACCCCAACGAAACGGAACAACAAGCGTCTGATCGTCGGCTCGAGGCAGAGCAAACGGAATCTGCGACGATTATAAGCTGAACCTCTCGAGTTCTACATTTCCGATCGTCCGTAGGAGAACTAGTCTAGTTACAGAGTCGCGTCCGGTTCTACCAAGAGGAAGATGTACATTTATAGATGAGATGTATATATTATAGATATGAAGAATCAAAGCTAATTTTATCCAAGTAAAATCGAATCTAAATTAATGATTATATATATTAAATTAATGATTATATAATTAATACTTTTTATTGGCTTGGCAGTTCATTTGAGTGAAACTAGCATGATGTTAGTAACATAATCTGTGTTCATTGCATAATCGAGGTAAATTCGGTTGCACGGCAAATAATAGTCCATCTTTGTAGCTTAAAAGTGCCTTAACGCAATGCCTTCACATAGTATATTATCCGTGAGGTAACATAAGCACATTTTAGGTGCTGTATGTTCCGCTCGTAAATGATTTTTAGATGCTGTAAATTTGGTAAACGTCTTAATTTACACCAATCTATCGATATTACAGCGGCTAAATGCCAAAGTGTGGCTTAAATCTTCCGAAACGATGGTGGCGAATGTGCAACCGAATCTTGCTCGAGCCCTCCCCCTCGTCTTCATCGTCATTTTCAGAGCAACGGAGTAAAGTTTGTTCTGGGCGATGCAACGGGCGGGAGAGAAGAAGGAGAGAGATAGAAGGGGCAAAAGAACAAGAGATTGGCAGTTAAAGGAGTACCTGCGAGGTGCAGAGAAAAGGATAGGACGAGCATGCGAGACAGGGTGGAGGAGAAATGAGAAACCATAAAGGCAACGGTCGTAAAACCCCGTAAGGGACCGGCGAAACACTTTGCGTTGCCCGGATATTCCGCTTTTTACCGAACGCGTTCGGCCTCTTAATGAAGCCGGGGAGAGAAGCTCGCGTATGTTCGTACAGCCAGAGCCCGTCCGCAGAAACTGCTCGCTCTCCCGCGAGAATCGCCTCGTAAAACACAACTGCCAAGACGGTCACGACATATGATCTCGACGACCCTTGGAACGAGGCGATTCTCATTTATCTAACCGCTCGTTACTCTCTAACATCTTTCGCATGATATTAGAAATGTAGGAAATGTCAGAAGTTTTAATCTTGTTTCTTCTTCAACCGTGCAAAATTAGGATTGCTCAAAAAGTATTGAAATTACATAGCAATAAAAGAAATATAGATAGGTGCAAACATGTAAAAAATGAAAAAAAGCATAATGGTAGAGTAGAACATAAGAATGACGTCGAAAAAGCGCACACGATGTAATAACATATCCATTGGTCCATAAAGTAAAACGAAATGTAAGAAGCAGTTGAATTATTTTTTTTTGTTGATTATTATAAATTATTATATAATTGAATATATAATTATTATATAATCGATAAAATATAACAAGCTTAAATAAAATTAACAAGTACATTCGTTTTAAATTACTTTATGGATCAATAAAATGATTTTTGGCGGAAACAAAAAAATTTGATATTTAAGAAAGAAAATATCCTCATTTTTCGACGTCAAAAGTCGGTACAAAGAATTTAACATTCGTGCCATCATTAAGTTCGCGCCATGATCATTGCCATATTTTAAAACCTGATATAATTACGAAGGAGAAAGGTCGAGCGCATGTTTCGACATGTTTCACCCTCAAGCAAAATCCTCGTTAGGGTGCCATATTTTGTTTCCGTTTTTCGTTCGTGTTTTTTAATCCAAGTCTCTCTAAACGATCGTATTTTTAAAAGAACTAGTTAGTTTTTGTTTGTAATGGTTATTTTTGTATTGGTGTATGCGAAAAAAAGACTGCCTGTAAATAATTGAGCGTGATAGTAATATATTCCATGTTTCATATCAACGCGGGCAAAGTCTCGTAATCGATATTTGCATTACATTCTTGTTAAAACGATAAAAACATATGTTTATTATATTATTTTATTAATTAATGATATTTCGTTTTACAGATTTCTGAGTAATTCTTGCAAAAAAAAAAGGAACAATATAGAACAAATTTTATTAATTTTTTTTTCATTCAAATTACGCTCTCTTATGCTCTCTAGAAAAATGTAGAAGTTACTTGTCTTCGTTGGCAATGGCCACGAAATAATTACAGTGAGAAAATCCTATTAATATCATCATGATTTATGCAAGTACTCATTAGAATTTTAAATTATTTATTATTAGATGTTTTATCATCACTTAGACCAAAATAATCATTTGATTTTACTTAGAAGACTCAAGTATCACCGTTCTATATTATTTTATATAATGTAAGTAATATATAATATACTAAATTTATCGATTTACAAGTTCGCCTGCGTCACTAAGAAAAACTGTTATAAACATTTTAAAAGAAAAGAAAAGCAATTACTCTATATAAACCTGATTATATGATTATAATTTGCACAAACTAGTGCAATGAAATGCAAAGTAATCAATTTCTTGATCAAATTCATGTAAGAAATGTTCCGTTTTTGGTATCTTCAAATATTTATATCTATAGATTTTAATACTCAGGAGATATTTTGGCAGGAATTCATGCATTTTTTAATTTAAGCTGTATTTAAAAATCTATAACAACGAGAAAGTGATACCAAATAAAGTGCATCGTTAATATGCAATAAGAAAAAACTTAATATTTTTATAAAAATGAACATATTTTAATGTTTAGCACGTAAGAAATTTTGTAGTACATTTGTTCGAAGATACACTATAAAAAAACGCGAGAATGCTCAATATTTTACTTTCGATTTTGTGCGTATGATTTTAAAGAATGCACTTAGAAGCACCCAAAAACTATTGTAGTAAATCTTTATTAAGTTAATTGAACGTTGTAAGCCCTCTCAGGGCAGGTTCCTGTATTGTCAATTAAATATAGTATTTTTTTTCACACATCCCTCGTATTTTATCTATGTCCATGCACACAAATTTCTATCATTAATAAATCTATATTTTTTAGGGATCAGAAGCTAATATTTTTTAAACTAAAAAAAAAAAGTTAAATTTGCTTTACAAATATATAAAGAATATTCGTTTATTATTCCATATACACAGATTTGTGTCTATACAATAATAAAATAAATATTTAGAGAATTTATTCCTCTGCAAATATATATAAAATTCAACATTTCTTTTATTGTACATTTATTCTGCTATAAATATACAAGTCTAATTGATATATAATTGTATTCTATATATTCTGTAAATAAATATATATATGTATATTTATTAATTTATATAAATATATATTTATCATTTTTTATAAAAATATAAATATATTTTATATAAAAAAAAAATATATATATATTTACTTATTTATTAGAATAAATTATGTATCTAAATCAAAAATTTCCATAATATCCTAGATATTACAGCCAAAAAGATTACCACCATCGCCGCTATTACATATCTCGATGTTTCCATCTCACAGTGTGGTATTTTATGCAGTACTCCGGAAACAATCCCTTGTGGTAGAGGAGACCTCAGTGCCGGGGATATACCTTCGTCGATCGGTTCCCCTTTCATGCAAAACTTAGTCGCTGCTACAATCCTCACGTCAATCATTTTCCCCATAAACTGTTTTTTTTTAGGGACCAATACCTGTTCATAGGATTTATTGTGACCCGCATAATATTGTTTATCGTGCGATACTTCCGTCACCAGCACTTTCTGAACCGATCCCACTTTATGCCTGTGCAGTTCGTAAGACTGGAAGAATTCAGACAACCTCTTGGTTCTCATCTTCACCTCCTGCGTAGGCACCTTCGGCATCCTGGCAGCGGGTGTGCCAGGTCGGGAGAAGAACTGATTAATGAAAAGGCTTGGAAACTTGTATTTTTGACAGAGCGTCATTGTCTCCTCGAAATCCGCCTCCGTTTCCGTAGGGAAGCCGCAGATGATATCTGTAGCAATGGTTAAATTCGGCACTCGCTCGCTCAGAAAATTCACTGTGTGCTCGAACTCTGCACGCGTGTATTCCCGTTTCATATCGGCCAGTACCTGATCGCTGCCGGACTGCACTGGAATATGCAGGAAACTATAAACCCTAGGATGCTGCAAGATCTTGGCCATCTCGTCCAAGTGCTCCAAAATGTATGGCGGATTGGTCATGCCGATTCGCATCATGCAACCTTTGGGAATAACGTCGACCAGTTGCCACAATAATTCTGGCAGGCTAGTGCCAATATCTCTGCCATAGGCGCCTGTATCTTCCGATGTAAGCCACAATTCACACACACCCTCCTCGAAGGCCTGCTTAGCTCGCTCAACTATCTCTTCCGGTGGGTAACTACCTAGGTCTCCTCGTGCGTGCTTCGTTTTACAATAAGTACACTGATTCAAACAGCCAGTATTGATAGCTATGATCTCAATAAGTGGATTCCGTCGCACCTTTGGAAGACTTAGCAAAGCACCACCTATCTTCTTTTTATCGGAATCCTTTTTTTGTTGTAGGAACCTCACTGTGTTTCCTTTCAAAGTTTCCTCCACAACTTCCACTACTCGATCAATTTGTTGTACTCCAATTACACTTAATCCTTCGAGAAAGTTGGATTTATGAGCAGCTTGTGGCACGCATCTGTAAGAAATAAATAAGATGTTTAAAATAATATCTGCAGACTAAAATTTTATAGAAAAGTAGATTTAAGGAATTTTTACTGATCTCCATTTAAGCAAAACTCATTTCTATAAATATACTCCAAAGTTTTTCAGTAGATTTAGTTTGGATCTCTCACTCATTATGATTATCAACAAACTGTACATACCCAGCGACGACAACATGTTTGCCCATTTTCTTTCCATGTTTAATTTCATTTCTGAACAGAGCTTCTGCAGGGTTCTTCACAGTACATGAATTCAAGAGCCATAGATCTGCTTTGTGTTTATCATCAGTCAAATTGTAACCATACGCTGCCAATTGTCCAGCCATGTACTCGGTGTCTGAAGTATTGTGCGTGCATCCCCACGTCTTTACGTAAATCATCTGCGTGCCGGGTATTATGCTTGACAAAATAGGAGGATCTAGCACTTCTTCCTGTAATCGCTGTTTCTGTTTCGGCCGTATCGTGATATACTTCCTAGAATTGTATCTTTCTTTAGGCGTTATATCTTGCGACGATATTAAATCCTCGATGTCCTCAATAATGTCTTCACAAGGAATAGGCATATTTGCTAAGTATAAAATTAATCCTTCAGAAGTTATTCACTGCAATCTTAAAACGTGTCATGGAAAACTTGGAGGTTAAAGATGTTTACACGTGTTCCAAGCTCCAATTAGTGACACACACGATTCCTGTTAATAATAAATCTACATTGTCAAAGTCGAAAACAAATATTTCTGTAGCTTCTGCTCAAATAAAAAAAAATTGTTTAAAAAATATATTCCATTGAAATAAAAATCGCACACATGCGCAAACCACCCAAGATAAACGTGCGAGACAGAATAAGCATTACCCCTCAGACTCTTTCTCTTTCGGCTCGAAGCCAATTTTTCGCTAAGACTCAAACCATTTTAGCCAAACCAAATAGTTTGAGTCTTGGCTAAAAATGGTTTGAATCTTGGCTAAAAAATGATTCTGTGCCGAAAGAGAAAGAGTCTAAGGAGTGATGCTTATTCTGTTTATCTTACGCATGTGTGTGCGGTAGCCCCTCCGTTCATGCTGTTTATTTCTTGCGTCTCAAATCTGACCACACTGCTGACAGTAACTGCACAAACTTGTATAATATTATTCCTAGATAATTTTTTTATTGGATGATTATATTTTTCCTAGGGGAATAACTCGTACTTTAGACTTTGAGCCACATCCAAGGACTGCATTACGAGTTTATTTTCTTTACTATCAGTGATTTAGAAATAATTGAACAATATTTTTGCATAGTATTAATATTTTATATTGAAAAAAAATGGCTCGTGTGCTTGTAGGTGTAAAAAGAGTAATCGATTATGCAGTGAGGGTAAGAATATTAAAAACCTATATCCATATATATTTTACATTTTAATTAGTGATATTAAAAATATTGATGCAAATATTTGTTTCTGACAATATAATATTATAAAAAATATAACAACTTTATTAGTCAAATAAAATTCAGAATACTTAAATGTCAACTTGTAATATCTTTATATCTAAAAATTTATTTTTATACAATTTTTACAGATTCGTGTCAAACCAGATAAGACTGGAGTAGTTACAGATGGTATAAAACACTCGATGAATCCTTTCGATGAAATAGCTATAGAAGAGGCAGTCAGAATGAAAGAAAAGAAAATAGCTCAGGAGGTGATAGCAGTCAGCTGTGGACCAACACAATCACAAGATACAATCAGAACTGCGCTTGCCATGGGTGCAGATCGTGGAATTCACGTAGAAATATCTGGTCCTGAATATCAGACGTTGCAGCCTATTCATATTTCAAAAATACTGGCCAAGTTGGCCCAAGATGAGAAAGTGAATTTAGTGATACTTGGTAAACAAGCCATAGATGATGATAACAATCAAACTGCTCAAATGACCGCTGGTGTCTTGGATTGGCCATCTGGAACATTTTGCAGCAAGGTAAGATGTCATAAGTTTTCTTACTGTGTTACATAATATCTTATTTACTTCTTCTTTTCAGGTTGAGAATAGTAATGGTGAATTAACCATTACACGTGAAATCGATGGTGGATTGGAAGTCGTTAAGATGAAAACTCCTGCAGTATTGAGTGCAGATCTTCGTCTGAACGAACCACGTTATGCAACTTTGCCAAATATTATGAAAGCCAAGAAAAAGCCTATTAAAAAGATTACTCCGAAAGATCTTGGAGTAGATATTGCACCGAGAATTGAAGTACTCTCCGTAGAAGACCCACCAGTTAGACAGGCTGGTGCTATATTACCAGATGTTGATACCTTGATAACTAAACTGAAAGAAAGTGGTCATGTTTAGTTAAATTATCAGGAATAATCATAAGAAGTACTTTCGTAAGGAGGTACTCAAGTAAGAAGAATAAAAATTATTTTTAATCTTTGTCATATTTTGATAACTTTTTTTGTATATAGTACAATCGTTTTGTACATTATCAGAAATTGTATATGATATATATTTCAATAAATTTGTACCGCGTATAGAGACAAAAATTAATTAATAATATATATATGAGGGATTCAGAGGAAAAGTGGACCAAGTCCATATTTGTTAATTGTTAGAAAATTAATTTTAAAGTTAAAATTGTTCCAATTGTGTGTAACATGTACACTTTCCTAAATGATATAATTTCTTTTAATTTTAACTTAAACATTTGCACTTACTTTTAAACTATTCAGTGAAAACTGTTCAGTTTTTTCCAAGTTATGCATGGATTTAAAGAAGGACTTGATTCACTTTTCCTCTTAACCCTTTATATGTTACAAATTGTAATATATATTTAATAAAATACTATGTACTTTATACATATATACATACATATATGCATGTATATACATACATGTAAAAATATCTCTTGTGTTTCTCTTTGCAACGCTTGAACGAATAATCAACCTATTTAAAAAACGAGGCAACATTAGACGCATTTCTGAAATGGTATTATATCTAAATATATACATATAAATGTAAATTTTTGTAAAAGGTAACATCAATATGGTACTATAAATATATTCTCCGTTCTGCGTGTTATAAATCTATTATAATACAACGCAGATAAGATTAAATAAGATTCAACGTCACATTTAATTGACACATTGTAATTCTAAAATTTTCAAGAAATGGTGATAAAGCTTGTGTGAAATATCTTTCTATCAACAGAGGATTACGATTAATGTGCGTACGTGCATCTTATCGACTTCTTCTCTGTGTGTGCTTCTACTTTAATATATAACTTTATAATATGTCAAAGAGAAAAATATGCCAGATATACGAATATTAATCAGAAAATAGCACATTATTGTAAATATTAAATGCCATTCTTTAGTTCTCTATTTAGTGCCTCATCCAAGACTCGGCAAGAAAATGGCCAATCAAGACTAGTTTGTCTTATTTTTTTTCTTTCTTTTAACAGATTAGTACCAATAACATTTTGTGGCTAGTATTTGTTCTATATCTGTAATTAAACGATAAAACTATCTTCAATACCCGTATTTATTACTTTGAGGAAGTAAATATTGTTCAACAATCGAGTAATCGATTAACTTTTATCGTATTTTGTATGTTAAAGATTCTTCCAGAAATTCTTTTTTTGATTCGTTGAATACCATTATTTCAATATCACTGATATTTGATAAAGCCCTGCTTAAAAATTCATTGTATTATAACAGTCTTTTGTACGTATAGGCTTTGTAAAATGTCTTCCTCAACAAAAGCTAAAGCTCACGCAATGTTGTTACATTAAAACTTTCCAATCGAATCTGCTGTTGCTAGTGTGAGTGATTGGTGGGAAGGGAGGAGGATGAAGCTGCCATCCATCAATGCTTTGACGTGCGGTCAGGCACGCCAGATAAGGTACCCTTTGAACTAATCTAGTGACTTCTGCTGCTGGAGGTATTCTACCACCAGTTAATTGTTTGGTGCAAGCTGCCAAGGAAGCAGCATGCGCCACTATTAAAATATTGCCCACTGTACTCTCTATGATCTTCTTGATCAGCTCATAACTTCGTTCATAATACTGCGCGGCGTTTTCTTTCAACGGAAGTTCCTTAGCCTTGACGATCGAATCGTAATCGGTGTCTATGTTGAAGCCCGCCTTTATCAACTCCTCGGAGGTCATCCAGACAGGTATACCGTTTGGATACCATGCTAACCACTCTATCAAGCCTGGCTCTACTTTGATCGGAATGTCGGACTTGAGTCCCTTCAAAATATTTGCAAGCGTCTGCACGCAACGCAACGACGGTGATGTAAATGCTACATCTATTTTAACACTGGACGACTTCATGGCTTCACCTACTAAACTCGCCTGCATTTCGCCTACAGTGGTCAACGGACTATCGTTTTGAAAATCCTGGATATTCCTGGATGGTACTTCTTTAGGCATGTTCAAGTCACGGCGCACGTAACAGCCATTCGATTCGAAGCAATATGGAATCCAAGCACCAAACGTGAAGTCCACTCTCTCGCCGTGTCGACATATAAAGATCTCCCTGAACGGTGTTTGAGGTGCTTCCGCGGCTGCCATCTATTTGGAATCAACAGATTACAAGTCTGCCAATCATATATAGATGTATTTTTGAGAAATGCTTACTGGTTCCTCGGCTGTAGGAATTCCATCAGGTGTATCGATAGAATCGCTCGGAGACAAAACCGGCGGTGGTCTCCTGACTTTGGGGATCTCCTCCTCTTCCGCGCTCTCACTTTTATTGTCGGTAATCGGCACAGTGGTGTGCAACGTCCACGAATCCGATTCCGCAGTCCTCTTGGTGTGATTCAACGGCAAATGACCCGATATACCGGTTAACCAGGAAATACCCTCCACCCAACCGTCTGTGGACGCATTACATGCTCCTTCTGGAACGTAAATGTAATCTCCTACTCTTAATTCTAATTCATCGTGCTCTCGAGGCACATGGGCGTGCGTTACTTTATGCACGTGTAAATTCTGCAATCTTAAATCCCTCGAGTACAATCTGAGCTCCCAGTTGGTCGATGTATTTGGTCCTAACTTCTCGACCATCAAGCGGAGAGATTGGAATAAATTGCTGGGAAATTGGTAAGCTAGCGTAAGATGCAGAGACTTCACTTGCGGTTTGGCAGTGATACCAAGTGAGGCAATTTTATTGACGTAGCGAACAGCAATGTTTTTTAGCCACTCCGCGTTTATATCCTTGACAAAAAGACCCATAAAATTAGGCGATACATATGTTTCCAATTCGATATGTTCGTGTAACCCATCCTGATGAATCACGTTCTCAAGAGCATTTACCAACTCTTCGGTGTACTCATCCGGAGCCTACAAAGGTTTAAAAATAATACAAAATATATACTCAATTGTAAATTTGTTAAGCATGTTTTATATTCTATTGTCAGGATCTCAAATTAGATATCTTACGTTAAAGAAGGAGACAAGGGTAATGTGTGGTACAAAGTTATGAGCACCATTCCAGCCTAGCTCCTTACTTTTCGACCAAAACAGCTCGAGCTGTTCAGCTAAGGATCCAGTGGGACAAGCATATAAAACATACTGCCGTTGAATATCAGAGTCCAAAGTTGGATCTCTCACATGAGCCACCAACCAATCCGATGCTAATTGTACACCACGATGTCCTGTTGCAGCTAATGCCTTTTCCCTAAACATGTATGCACTTCATAACAAATATTATCTATAAATAATATATGGAAATTATTGTAATATTTTAGGCGAATATTTACATGTCGAAAAATATGCATCTTCAGCAATAAAGTTTTCAGTAGTATTTCAATGCTAATAGAAACATTAAATAATGCAGAAAGATATTCGTCATTTAAATGTCAGGCATAATTTGCTTCGTCTAAAATAAACTGCGTTCAATTAAAAAAGATAATGACGCAAAATAGCGTTACTCAAGGCCACGTTTGACAGCTGTTTGTTTACAGTGAATAAACCACATGCGTTGCATGAATAACACGCTATGTAAGTGACATGTAAATATGATTTTATATTACAGAGTCACACATACGCCCGATGTTTTGGGAAACCCAATTGTAGAAGCGTTTGCAACGGTGTCAAATGTTGTTTCGAAATTTTTGTAGGAGTCGGATTTTTCCGCGGCGGCAGCGTCGCCATGACGGTCCGTTACTGCGTTTACACTCCGCAGGCTGGCCAATCGCTGCACGACGTTGTGACGTAAATGAGGACCGCACAAAATTTGGAATGGTCGAACATCGATCGGATCGTAAAAGCAAATTATTCATCAAAGAATCAAACTAAAACTAGCAACAACGCTATCCAGGGAATGTTCCATTCAGATAAGAAATTCAATGTAATGTAGCAAGCTCATTGTGAAAAATAATTTACATTGTGAAAATTAATTTATATCTTTAAGTTGTTTGTACTGAATATTATCTCTGATATCAGTTAAATTAGAAAATGTTAACCTCTTAAAACACAATATCTTTCTATTGATCTTTGAAAGTACGATAACGTGATTTTCAATAATAGCATACGATAAGCGCGATTGTTGTTTAGAGTGAGTGTAAAAAGAAAACACATGAATTTATATTTTTCTTTTTCATTTGTTACGCCATTCCGTTACAAACACTCTTCACGCTGCGGTATTTCAGTACAGAAGTAATAAAAAAGTTATAGTTGTATATATCTCTATATATCTATATATATAATATTTATATATAAAATAGATAAAGTCACGTAATATACACGTTATAACCCGTCTCATGGGATTCCTCGCTCGCGTTCGCAATTTTACATTTTTTATACAAAATATCTTAGGCAAATCAGCGTGATCATAATTATATACCGTTTGATGAAATTTTCAAACGACATTTCATTAATTTTTTACATATTTAATGATAGAGCTTTTTTCAGCGATTATTCCAAATCCCTTATAATTCATTTAGATCTTGTTTTTTTCCGATTAACGGCTAATTATTGAAAATTTAAATTAATAATGTAAGTGTCTTCAATCACGTACAATAAACATTTTATATAACCCATTGTATATTATTGAAACAAAAAAAACTGATACATCTAAAGCATAAATATAACATTAGGCGTGAAGTGTTTACAAGCGAGTAGTATGAATAAAATAAAAGACATATTTTTCATTAAGTTACACTGCAAAAGAATACTTTATTTTATTTTATTCATACTACGAATCTGTCCATATAGTGAGTTAGATTATGCTAAAGCCTATTAAACAATAACAATCGCGCCTTACTTTGAAAGTTCTTAACATTGCACATTTTGTCATATAGGTATTTAATGTTGCGCCAGACCTCCAGTCCTGCAAATTTACGATCGATCTCCGTCGAGATTGCAACGCTGTTGCAAAATTGCTCACAATTTAATAATCGCCGATTCATTACGAGATCATATAATATCAACAAAGATGCAACAAATGCAATCAGTAAGTTCTCCATGTACTTTATATATCTTTTGTGTAGTCTATTTCGAGTGTTTTCTATTGCACTATATTTTACGCAGATTCACGAATTACAATATTCCGTAACGATAAGACGTTACTCATCATTTTATCTTCGCGAATCGGAGATATCATATTCCATTAGTCTGAGCATCACTATAATTTTATAATAATTACGATATAACTAAAACTATTCTCTCACAGATCTTCTGATGCGAGAAGATGAATTGAAGTTGTATATCATAGATGTCGATTATTCGTCGGGAATTGCACATTTTTAACACAGTGAAATCTATCTGTAATTAAACATTTCTGTCTACACCAACAAATGGAACATGATATTTTCTCTAGTTTAATTTGATTTTAGTAATGATAATAGCTTCGCTTTTATGTAAATATTCCACTTGTCGAATCCTAGCCAATTCTAAAGAAAAATTAGGCTAACGAGAGTAATGTGACACTCTATGATTTTTCGAATACATTCTTACGTAGAAATGTTAAAACCATGGCTAAACAACTAAAGTTATATGTGCAAGAGTGAATTAATTCTTTTTTTATGAAATTAGATAATCAATTTTTATATTTGTATTATTCAACATTATATAGTTGAAAAAATTTTAGTGGAACACATCGATTGGAGGAAATATTTATTCCAGCAAATTAATTTTTAATTCTCCATTAACTCATGTAACTCATTACAATGAAATAAGAATCACTTTGCTTTTGCGCATATAATATGAATTTTGAAAGATTTTAACTAAACTCTTACAAGTGCAACTACAAAAAACCGCGTAGCTAGGAAAAAATGTTACATTTACGCGTATCGAATTTTTTGCCAATCTATACAGTAGAATTAATTTATTGGCACTGATCATTGGCAAAATACTCGGGTTTGCTGTCCTCTTAAGAATATCGCTAACGTGTATTTCAACGAGATGATATCGCTCGAACGGTAGCTCAATAAAAACTTGGGAGGAAAGTTGCCATCCATTTTCATAAATGTTGTTTGCGCTTCCTCAGACGCATACTTCTTTTTATCGCAACTGCATCGCGCACCTGCGGTGTTTGTAGCTTGTTAACGTTATAGCAAATATTACCTTGCAACGACAAAGTTTGCTACTTTCACATAAAAGTCGTAATATGTGTATGTGATATTAACACCAAATTTTGAGGCAAAATAAAGTTTCTATTAATAGAAATATTAATATTTGTAGAAAATGACCAAAACATTTAACCTCATGGCCTAAAAGATTTCGATGGTATTGCGGTATAACATTACACGATTTATTATAATTTATTCGAATAAAAATTGCTTTTTCGATTGAGATTGGTACATGCTACCAAATCAATTCTCGTCGAAATAATTGGCAACTGTGCCACGGCAAATTAATTATGCAGTGTATTAAAACAATGCACTTGATGCAACAATCTAAGCACAACGGGTATTGGATTTCGTATGCGGTATCAGTCTCATATAATTGGCTGTGGCCGTTCTCGGAATAAACTACTGAAGTCCGTCTAACACGTGCGAGGAATTTTTCGTTCCGGCCATTCAGATATTTATAGTGCGATTCTTGGATTAGGAGTATTATGATAGCGAATACACACACACACACACACACACACACACGGGGGTGGTAGATGATTGTGTGATATTTATATGTATATTTCGCACGTAAGAGAGAAGTTCAAGTCTATTCTGCGTTGTAAAATAATTCGAATACTCGAAAACATGTATTAACCAAACTGTCCACTTGCCGCGTATCTGGATTATCGCCAGATATGTGTGCTTGTTAGGCGCAATTCGGACATCTAATACTGGACTTAAATTTCAGATTTCAAACAAGAATGTGTATTTTTGATTTCAATAATAATTTTTAGTTTTTAATAAATTTTATATAAAATCTACATTGTTCAGTTACAATATTCTTCAAAATTATGTACAAAAATGTCGATTTTGATAAAAACAAGTTTAAAAGCTTGCAGAAAAAAAAATGATATAAATCAACAAAAAGGTATATATTTCAGCCACTGTCTATGCGAAATGCCATTTTAAAATCTTATTCGTGCTTGAAAAAACGTGTATATCGAATTTTCACAATTGACAAATTTATCACGCAATGACTTACATCTCAAAATATTTATCTTTTAAATAGAATCAGCCATATCACTGTTTTATCATACCAGTGTGTTTTGCAGATATATTTCTAATATAAGAAGTCATTTCTAACATTATTCAATCTTTCTAGCTACTTTAGAAATCTAGGTAAAATACACCTGCCGTCCTGTTATCAAAATTTTATATTCACATTGAGTATTGATTTTGCGGATTCTGTTGTCGATCTCAATTAGTAGAAGGGCGTACAGATATCGAGTGTCCAGCAAAAACACGAAGGAAGACGAAGAATCCCAATTTACGAAGGACCATGGTTGTTCATCCCGATGTTATCCGGACGTGGAGATATCACAAGTCCAGAAACAGTCGAGAGATCCGTAAGTCGTTTTCGCCATTCGTTTCCACACGCGACTACGATTTCCGCCTGTAGTAACGAAAGAAAGCGCAGGCTTAACTACTTTCGTCACCGTCGGAAAAGTCTCGCATCATTCCCGGTCTTTGCTCAGGTCGGACGGCAGGTCGCCGCAAGTGGACAACGCCGTCGTGATCGTCGTCGTTGTCGTTGTGGGCGACCTGGTGCTTATCCTGGAGGTCACCGGTAAGGACAATCCCGCCGCGCTCATCGCGACGCTAAGCGGTATCGTGATGAACGGCTGGCTCGATTGTGACGAGTTCGCCAACGATGCCACTGCACCTATAAGGAAGTCGCAAGGGAAAAACAAATGAGAAACCGTTGCGGAATTATGATAGTATTTCGCCTGCCTCTGACTCCTCCCTTCTACGCCCGATCGCTTTTTCCACTTTCGATTTTACGTTTTCAAAAAAAAAATCACTCGTGCATCGATAGCGTGGAATTAGAGTGGTCGTTATACTTTAAATGGTCTTTAATTAATTAATTAATTAAAGAACGGTGGAAATAAAAAAAAAAAACTATAAATTAGATTATCTAACATCCTTAACTTATCACTCGTTGATTACATTTACCTCTTACGTGCTTTCTTCTCTACTTTTACGTAATCTCGATTGCTACACACTTTAACACGTGTAAAGCGCTATGCGTTTATTTTCACGCTATCGATTGTAATAACCAGTTTACGTTATGCAAAATTATTAGTCATAATAATCTCGCACTTGATCGCAATTATCCTCCGGATGTTGTCGATGATTCAGACACGCAGAGAAGCGCGTGAGCGATTTCCGCGAGCGTAAAGCTGATTTCTCAAATAGCGCGCGAACTTCTTCTAAGGGTATTTCGGAATGCGTGAATGCGGCGCGATATTGCGTAAACCACGCGGTCTTCGCGGCGGCAGAAAGAGAGAGAGAGAGAGAGAGAGAGAGAGAAGAGAGAGAGAGAGAGAGAGAGAGAAACCTACCTCCGTCTTGCGATATTTGCACCGGTTGCCCGTTTTGTCCTATGCCGAGCAAGACCCCTGGACTGGGCGAATAAATGACACTCTGAGGCATCTGGTACATAATCCCTGCAGAGAACGAAGGCACATTTCCTAGGAAACCAAAGAGGAATTGAGCGTGTGAGTAACTGTAATGCCGGCGATTAAACGAGCGAGGGAAATTTATCGCGAGAGAATGTCGAGATTTGCAGTCGCAAACACAAATTTACGTACGCCTTAGCCCGAATTGTGTGACAAGTCCTTTCTGCGAAATTATTCGTGACACATGTTCGACAACGGATGGAATATACAAACGGTGTGAAATGTGGAAAAGAATTTTATGAAAATAATGAGTATCGGCGTGAAACATCATGTTAAACTCAATTTCTCGCTCTTGGCACAGACACACATTGTCGAGAAAAAAAACTTAGAAGTGATGACAGAGTCGCGACTTCAATTCTGATTAGCCAGGTGCGAATGTGCGCGCCCTGATTCATCGTATTTCCATGTCTAACGTAAATTGCTGTTGCATATGTATGTTTCTCTGCAAAATGCAATAACTTTTCGAGTGAACCGTCGACAAAAGAAAATAATTGGAAATTGCAATCTCTCTTACGACCACAAGATTATCGATTGGTAGCAAGATTAGAGATCTTCATATATTAATATTAAAAGGTATCCTTCCGAAAAAAAAAAAACTGTACGATAATAATGTTATTTAAGTTTGAGCTTTCTGCTTGTAATACGTTTTTCCATAGTTTACTAATTAAATAGCAAATTAATCTTTTCTACGAGAAAACACAGGCATGAGTTTATGTTAATATCACACATTTCTTTTAAGTACACACACACACATATGTATATATTTAAAAACAAATGTTATATGTATATTATCTGTAGCATATGTTACTTCATATGGTGCATTCATGAATTCCATCCTATTTACTCAGCTACACGCGTCTGTTGGTTTTTGCAAAGCGATTAAAAATACACATCTCTCGTTACATGTTAGTGCTCATTAGATTGGCATCAAGTAACGTACCCAAAAACCCTCGCAAAAACGGCCGTGCATGCCCGTATGAGGGAAACAAATCGTAATTCTCTCGCATGCGCTTTCCGTTATCCAAACGAACAAATGCTTCTAATTAAAGCGACTCGCGCAGCATGTCCATCCATTCGACCATGATAATGGGATCTCTCGCACGCGCCTTCGTTATGCCGCAGGGATGTATTATACATTCGTCGCTTTCGAATGCGGGGAAGCATAGTGACTCGGGATTATTATCGGGATACGTGATGGAGAGCGATCCGGGCCGGCTAGCGCGGAATCGCGGGGGAAAAAAAGCACGTCGCGATCGCGCTACGGCGATCGGTGGCGGCCGCGGGTAGAATGGCATCCACGCGACACATTAGCATCGATATTTATGTGTACACCTGCATCGGCGCGCTCTTGCAGCGCGCGCGCGGACGGAGCGGCTTTCGACCGGATCCTACTTCCCAGTTAGGCAACGCGGTTGTCGTCTAAGTTTGGTCATCGCCGACCGTACGCGACTCCTTACGGACTCCCTACACGGATAACCCCGTCATCGCTCGCACGCCTTTCGCATTTTAAACGGCCCTCCCCGTCTCTCTTCCTCCCTCGGCCGTCTCTCTCTCCCACCTTTTCTCACGCTTTGCTCCCTCTTTCACCATCTCCTCTTCCTCGTCTCACCGCCTCCTCTCGGAGGCCGTCCACCGGTGTGTTTACCTGTCTACTCACTCACCTATACGCTCGACCATCTGTTCATTATCGGCGCGCGATCAAATCAAACGCGATTAGTATTGACGACAATTAAACGCGATTAGCATTCGTATGGCGCGAAAGAGGCGGCGTGATTCGAGTCGCTAAAACGTTTGACGTCGCAATTTTCGTTTTTTTTTTTTTTTTTTTTTTTTTTTTTTTTTTTTAATTTTAATATCGCGATCTCGATTACGCTTGAGGAATAAATATGTTTGTTCTTCGAGGCAAAAGAATTGATAAAAAAATATTGCGAGAATGCTACGAGAAATCGACCGCAGTTAAGTTATTTGTATTGATATATGCTGACGTAAAACGTAACACGTTTGTGCAAATTTCAACATAATAAAAGTCATAGAACGTTGAAAACGAACGTTGCATTAAAATTCTAAAAATCCTCCGCGTAGGAGGTCTGCCTCTCCATTTGGAACAGCGAAAGGTATATCATGAATAATCACGGCCATGAATAACAGAAAATCGACGTAACCGCAGAACTTAATCTAACTGGAACCTCGCACAAACTCGTACAGCTAATAATCGTGCCTGCGTAATATGGTTTAGTCCGCGTGATCATGTGACTGATAAGTTTCGCAAGTCCTTCGCTTCTTCTGTGAAGACTTAAACCTCGTTGTTCGAAAAAATGCACGGAAACGATGCGATTAAATATAATTAGAAATTGTATAAGTCTGTCATCAGAGCCAATCTTATGCATTGCTCATATTCTCCTTCGAATGCAAATGATAAATTTCTTATATCATCGAGTGATTCGTGCCTGTGAATTTTTCAGAAACTGCGTCCCAGGACTCGGGAGGATGAGAAGCGAGAAATCTTCTCGAATTTCTAATCCAAGCGTAATTAAACAATCCTCGCGTCTCGCCGCGGGTCGCCGCGCGTCAGAGACTCACCCGAGTGATTGTTCTTGAGAGGATCCTTGGAGATGACGGGAGAATCGCCGTCGCTGGTATCGGCGTCGCTTTCGTTGGCGCAGATATCGGACCTGGGCGACGCACCGTCCTCCTGCAATGAAAAAAAAAGAGCGGTGGCTTATCGCGTGAATACTTCCGAATGCGAATTCGTCGGGACGAATGGGCAAGGACGGGGGGAGGCGGGATTAGCGCGTGGCGTGTCGACGAATCGGTTTCACGGCAATATCAACGAGCGAACAATCGTCGCCGAGAGACCAAGGGCAGAAACACGCGTATCGCGAAACGTACGTGCGTATCTATCTATCTACCTACCTACCTACCAACCTACCTACCTACCTACCTACCTACCTAGCGGACAGAGATGCGCGAGCTTGGCCGCGCTCCTTATATGGCCATCTCTCGCAGACTCCGCACTCGCAGAAAAGAGATTCTCTCGCGAATTCGCTCGCGACCCTTTCCGGCGGGCGTGCCTCGCGCGAAACCATTTCCCCGCGGCGCTTCCGCGCCCCCAAGTCGCGAAACCACGGCTGCCGTTTTGTGCGGAAGAGTCGCAACGGAATTTCCGGCGTTCGCGAGGACGTTCAGGCGGCATTCGCCGATCGTCGCGGATACGTGCGCTCTTGCCAACACGCAGCGACAAGTAGCGGATATCTCGCAAATTCGTTTCTTATTTCGGAAATGAATAAAAAGTGCAGTTTTTTTGTCAACATCTTTATTTTTAGTATCATTTTAGCAGTAACACAGGCGGCAAATGCGCGGCCGTGCAATTATACGATAAATTAGGTTTCTTAATTAAAAGCAAATGACGTAAACGAGAACGCGCGTTTCTCAGCTCGCAATTTGCGACAATCGCCGTTTGATCCGATGATATGGTTGCGCTCCGCTCGAATTATCCGCAAGAGAGAAGGATGCCCAATTGGAAAGCTCAAGAAGCTCGCACACGGTTCCGTCGAATCGACGACGCTCATTCGCCAGCGATGTTCACTTCCGACTATTCGTACTCCTTTCCGTACCCCGCCGTTCACCACGCGGGGGCATACGTGTATGTGTGTAGAGAAGGTGCGACAAAAAGCAACATTCCTGACTCTCAAGTCGGGCTCTATATAAGTGTCTGCCATCGCGAACATTGCCTGTATATGGCGACAACCGGGCTTTGACAAAGGTGACCGTATATGGAACTCCGCTTCCACCTTCCATGCGTGCGTGCATGCGTACGTACGTACGTACGTACGTGCGTGCGTGCGTGCGCGAGTTGCATGGCCTCTCTCTCTCTCTCTCTCTCTCTCCCTCGTGGGACATCATGAGCTTCCCTCTCTCTGTCTCTCTCGTTTCTGCTTTCTTTCCCCTGCACGCGCGCACGTACGAGAAGCGATACACCTGGATGCTCGCCTTCTTCATCCCCAGCGAACGTACGAATGGCCAATGGTGTCCACGGTGTATCGTTACGCCGTTAAATCAAAGATCGTGCTTGAACCACGCGATAATCGTCGAAATGCCGGATATCACGGCATCGAAAGCTCCGCACACACATCCGCTTCCGGGGATGCATGACCCTCTGTCGCGATAAGCGCATCGTAAATGAAATCTCGAGAATGCGCACCGTCCAGCGTTATCAGCGCGATCGAGAGCACGGAAAAATTCGTTAAAAATATTTCAGGGAATATTAATTGGACTCCAACGATATGTAGACGAATACTTGTTACCAAAGTACGTTTTTTCTTCTCGAGTCGTTTTTCATCCTTCAACTTTTACTTCCGCTTTTTCCTGACCCGCGCTTTCTTTAACGGGCATCACATGCAATCCTTATTTAGCTTTACCCTCGAAAGTTGTAGAAACGCAAAAAGAAAAGACAGTGGTTTGCTGTGCGAAACTACGCATTTCTCATTTAAATAAACATTTCGCACTGCCATTTGTAAGTTTGACAGAAAAACTGGATAGAGTGCCCATGTCGATTGGCGTAAAATGAAATCACGAAGACATTCAAACGCATTGTTTTGTATTTTGGGATACAATATTCGTAATCTGCTTTACTTACTATTAATGCCATGTGCTAAAAAAAATGTGCGATATAACTTATATGTTCACCGCATGTGTATAATAAGCTAAACAGCACACATCTGCTATTTTATTATGATGATTTTTTTTAATGGTTCGATCTTTAAAATTTTTCTATTTTAATCGATACGATATCGAAATCACCGACATCACAATCAATGCCAGTTGACATTTTTTTTATGCATATGTTACGTATTATCTCTCTGTTTGATTGAATCGCAAACCTACCTTACGCTTCTTCCTCGTTTATTTGTTTCGTCTCCAAACTTCAAACGACGTTGCATAACTATTTTCGATAATGATATTGCACTCGATTTCATAACTTATGATGATTTTAAAACGTACCGTTAGAAATAAAGGAATTCCTAACATACTGCGGAATGTTTTTGAGTTTCTATATATATCCCGAACCAGATTGTCAAAAATAGGCATATGTCGGTCGTGCCTGAAACACGAAATAAGATTCTATTCGTTTACCGATGTTAGTAATTCGAAATCTTTTATTGTCAGAGACTCGCTGAGTCTGCACACATAATACAAAAAAAGTTTGCCAATTTCTGCACATTTCGGAAGAAATATTTTATACACACATGCATTTTTTTATCATTTACTGCTTCCACGAAACTCTTTATTTAAAGATCAGAAATAAATATTAGCGCGCAAACCGACGAAGATTTTTGCTTCCAAGTGATATAAAAATTATTTAAATTAAGTAATCTTGAGAGAGATACCTACCTGGCATCAGCAAAAAATTCAAATAATAAGGTTTGAACGATTATAGTGATCGCAAGGACTATATTCGAAGAAGACGAAGGTATGTGTATGTGTGTGTGCGCGTGCGTATATAAGACGTAAAAATATATAAATATTATCACAGTATTTTACAATTAATATGCTATGTACATAAAAATGCTAAGATACAAACTAATTATTGAAAGCCGCATTATTCGCAAATTAATATGAAAATCGTGATCGGTATTATTATTATTTGTACTTTCTGCATGTCGACATGCGCGGAAAATAAATTACAATTTCTAGCTATACAGCTATATCTGATCGGGGTCTAAGGCCTCGCTTTCGGCTTTCCCACCTCTACTCGTCTCTTATATTTTCGTCTCCCCATATCTCTTTTCTGAATATAATACAAAAAATCAACAAACAATACATACACACATTTAGCATGCACAATGTCGATGAACGGAGCGGCGTGTCGCTATGTAAAGGATGAGGAAAACAAGGCGGAAATGGATTAAATTGAGGGGTAGTTTAAGTACTACCTGCTTATTCTACGAGAGAAAAAAATAATCCAGATATACATGCGGCACACAACACGTTATACAGAAAAAAAGAAACAACGGACGAGGCACACAGCGATAACTCGATAAAAGAAATGCACAACAATACTACAAGCGTGCACCGCCAATTCGCCCGGACTCGCACCCACGCCACCGATTCGGTAGGACATCGTTGTGAAATGATTTCACGAGCCAGGGGTCTTTGCTCAACCGGATAAACGGAGAAATGCTCGCCAAATGTCCCTCGCGAAGTGTCCACAACTCGTATAAAATACGCGACAAAAAACACCAAGACGTCCGCTATGGATTAAAATCGGCTTACAATAATGGTATGTACACGTCACTTTTCTCTAATAAATAAAAAATATCGACGATTGTTTCAATAAATATGATTTAAGTTAAATAAAAAAAAATAAAAAAATGAGAGAGAAAGAGAGAGAGAAAACGGAGAGAGCTGTCGGACGAAGCTAAGAGAGTATCGAAAATATTACTGCTTTGCACTCTCTATTGTCATCGGATAATTCATCACACGATACTATGCTCTATGTATCTAAAATATAGCCTACGCTAAAATAATTAATAACGATATTTATTTTCAGATTTTAATATCTATCGCACGATGATCGATCTTATCGATGTAAACTAACTGTACTTTATCTAACACGCCGAACTTTGGACTTTGCGTAGAACACGGATCTACCCATAACGAGACCGAGACACCGTTCCGTCGGATCTTACAATCTGCCCGAGATCTCGTCGATCGCGGGTGATCCGGCCGCTTCTTGGAAGTGCTAATGGCAAATTTGCGTTTAGTCACTGTGCTTTCATCCGCGGGAAGCGCTCTGACTATCCTTCCGCGCTTCAACGATAATGCGTCTCCACCCTTCCGTGGTCCTTCGCACGCGAAAACGCAAAGTCGTTTGAAGCGCGATGCTTGATCGAGATATTCATTGATATGCACGAATAACAATATATACGTATATATTATACACATATATATATATATATTTAAGTACGTGTCGATTTTGGACTAGATTTGCGCGCACGAAGAGAGTCGGCCGTATACGATCGACGCTGAAGAATACTCAATCGTAATACAAAACCAATTGTTTTTCGCGACTATCGTATATAATCTCATAAATACCATACATGACTCTACGTCTCACATTTGCCAATCATATTAGGCCCTATATTATAATTATATTATAATTGCGTCAGTAGTATACGGCATCCGAAGATGTTTTCCCCGTATTTAAAAATCATACGCGCATTTCGGGCCGACACGCGCTAAGTCGTGCACTATATATTTTCCGAGAAAACAAATTTAATTATTCAAAATCAACATCTGAATACAAATTTGTAATTTAAACATGATGGAAAAACGTCGAGAATTTCTCATACAACATAAATTTCATTTATACACTCAAAAAAATGATCTTGCAATAATAGCTAAAATTTTCTAGGTGTAAAAAATTAACTAAAACAGATAAGTGATTAGCAACTGTAATATTGTAATATTGTAATATTGTAATATTGCATATGTAATTACTTAATCAGTTTAGATGACAGAAACAGAATATATATCTGTATTGTTCGTGAACTTTAAAAAGAAAGTTTCTCTAAAGCGCCTATCTATATAAGATCAATCACGTGTTAGATCATGCAATGAATAACATTTAGCAATGGTATCTAAATTTTTCAGAAGCTATTGCTAGAACATTACTGCTATAAATTCTATATGTAACAAACAATGTTTTCACAGATACGAAAAATAGCAATACATTCTTGTTGTGATATCTAAAAATCTAACTACATCAGCGAAATATTTTTTTGAGTGTATGTAATTTATCTTTTTTTTTCAGCTACTGAGATTCAATTAAACGTCAGTTGCGTTTTTAAACCTGTAGTCTTCATTATCAAAGATAAATCTAAAATTCGTATTCGAACCGAATTGAAGTTTAATTTGAGCATCATCGCGCAGAATAACAACGCGATAACCGTTATATTTATACATAATGTAAATTGCACAAACTCCTTCAAATCGGGCAACTCGAGTGTTACTATTCTCATTTTCGATCCCGCCGAGTTCGTCGAAAAGAGAGCGTCGCTTGCTATTCGACAGAATTTACTATCGGCGCAAGATAAGTTCTTCCAAGTATTCGGATTCGCAGCAACGACGCGACCTTACGTCATCGGCGTTTGCGGAAGCCCGACGCGAACTCGACCACTCCGGCGTGACGCCTATAAGCATAACGAAATGCGACGAGAATGGAGGATGAAGCGCGGAGGGTTGACAAGCGGCAAACGCGTACTACTACCGTTGAGGGTGCGAGTGCGACATGTGAGGATGATAGGCGTGATGAGGCGGCAGGGGCGAGGGGCAGGACTGTTGGTAGGGACCCCCGGCGAGCATTGGGCCCGGGCTCGAGCACGGCACGAGGTGTGAGGTCGGCGATGCGGCGGCGGCCGCCGCATGTGCATGCGCTATGAGATGCGCGTGTTGCGCGTGCGAGGGTGGCGCGTGCTGCGAGCCCGGCGGCGGCGGCGGCGGCGGATGGGCCCCCGCAGTCGGTCCGCCTCCTGGCCCGCTACCGGGCCCGGTACCAGGGTAGCCGGCGTGCAGCGAGCCACCGTGGTGCGGCGACCCGTACACCAGTTGCCTTACTTTCTGCTCGTCGTCGGCGATGTTGTACGTCAGCTCGGTCTCCTCGAAGCCGGTTGCCGACATCCTCTGATCGCCCGACGAGCCCGACGGCGGCGGATCCGGGCTGTTCAAACACGTCTGGATCAGCGCCTTGCCCGCTTCGCTCGTGATCATCGGCTGAAGTTTGCGCGTCGCGAATGTGTACACGTGGCCAGTTTCGCTCGCCACCAACAGCATCACCTGTGTACCGGTGAGCGTGGACAATTCGTACGCCTGCAAATGTTAAATCAATATTTTCATCAACTCGTTCGTTAATAGATCAGTTCGTTTCACGTCCCGATATTTTTTTATATTGCTGACAACATTGCTTTATTGTGTAACATGTAGGATAAGTTTCTGTTTATTTAGATTTATTCTAGGAATATATTATCTGTTCTTGATAAAATTTGTTTTTAATATTTTAAATATTAATAGAATCTTTATTATAGCTCGAATAGGAAAAGCGAAAATTCAATTAGTTTAAATAAAACACTTAGAATTATTCAAATATTCTAGATAAAATTAAAAATTATCACTTTCTTAATGATATGATTTTTATTTTTTACGATAAAAATAAATATCTTAAAAGAATGTAATGCTAATGAAAATTAAATTTATTTCTCACCAACGATTTATTTCTGAGAATGAGTGTTAAATGAACATTAATTGCTTATACGAGTCTCAGATTAAGTATACAATCAAATCGAACATGCGTTTAATAGCCTTCTCTAATTTAACTAAAAATCGTCATTTATAGATATAATCTTTATACAAAAAAAACTTTCATATAATATACTTAACAAAGTAATATTAGATTATTAGATTAATTAGATTAAACTAAAATTTTAAAAATTATGATAAGTTGACATTAAGATAATGTGATATTTTCTATAAAAGCAACCTAAAATTGTTTCAACAGTAATAAAAAATGTATATAAATCTGACGGATACCTAATTTAAATCTAAAAGTTCAATTTTAAAATTAAAATAACATATAATCAGTAACAATGAGTTATTATTCTTTGTAAACATAATTTTCATCGCGTGTCTTTAATCAAATATAAAATCATGAACATTGAATTTAATCGATTCAGAGTGCGGATCGTTTTAATTCAACTTTTATTTGCCCAAATAATATTTTACTAATTTAATATTTTTGTTAATATTACTTTTACATCGTCTTAAGTTAAAAAATCTAACAATTTTAATTGTAATAAGATTGTTTATAAATTGCGTTTAACTGAATTGGAATCGGTAGAATTAAGTTGCGTTTAATTTCTAATAATTTATTGCGTTTATATTTCAATTTGATGTATTAAAAAAATATCGACAATCGTCTACACTGAAAATGATCTAAACCCAAGGCCGAAATGTTATTTTCTTACTTTGTAAACATAAGATTCGAGCACTGAGACCCAGCTTTTGGCTCCATATTTAGCTTAATAATAAATTGTAATTATTGGACTGATAATCGAAAGAGCCAATTCTGGAATATTGTTATTATAATTTGTAAATTGATTTCGATATAATATTCCATAAAGATAGTCTGTCATCAAATTTAAAAAATTTCCTTTTTAAATGATTATAATTATATTTATGTAATAAAGATTTTTTTTCAATTAATTATATTAAAATACACAATTCAAATGCATTATTTGTGAAAAATACATCACAAAAAACATATTACATATGGACATTAAAATACTGCACATTATAAACATGAAAAATACTGTAGACTATAAATTCCGCTACTAAATATTTTTAGAAATAAATCTTTTAACCAAAACATATAAAATTACCATTCTGAATATAAAATTAAGCAGTAAAAATAGAGAAAGAAAGAGACAGTTCTAAACAGTCACCTTTCTGTAGCTAGTTAAAATTAACTTAATTTAAATTTCTATTCGACTCAAAGAAATACATATATTAAATATATATATATTGTGTTTTCTAAAATATTTTATAATAAACCATATGAGAACATCATTAAAATAGAATAGTAAGCAGAGAAAAAGAGAAAGCTTGTGTTTTGTTTAAATTATGGAAAAATATAAAACAATATTTAATGTATGTTTATAGGTAATAATTATATATATATAATTTTACAACTTTTAGTTCAAAAACATCTGCTCGGTTTACTTATTCCTTTTTTTCTTGATTTCATAATTCAATTCTAAATTTTGTCTATTTTTATAAAAATAAGAGATCCTAATAATTAATTGAAAATTTACACGAATGGCGCAATGTAATGTGCCGATATCCTTAGTTTTTCTGACTGCAAAACTCTGTGGAATTTTTTTTTTTTTTTTTTTCCGTAAATAATGCAAAACGATCAAAAAAATACGATAAAATTCGCGTAACGTACGATAAAATAATAAGATCAGGTGACACAGAAACTAAATTATTACATAGATTTTTTTTTCAAATTAATCTTTGTTTTTCCGACCAAAGTACAAAGTTAATTAGATAAAGGCTAATTACAATAACACGATGCAAGCGACCGGCCCTAATGAGCACGTGTCGAAGATAAGAGAACTATGCACGAGACATGTTTCACTCTTTCCACAGAGCTTAGATGCATTCTTTCTCTTTCTCGTAGCTTCGAAGCACGAAAGAAACACATGATGTTGACGAGGATTATTGCTTTACACGCTTTAAAGAGCGAGAAACCGGAGTTTGAGCGCGCGTGTGTCGTGTGATGTGTATGCGTAAGTGTTACACGATACAAACCTTTTTCATAATGCCGGTTTTCCTCTTAGAGAACGTGGTGTACCTCCTCAGCTTATTGTCGATGTATTCCATTTTAATTTTCACCCGGCCCTTAGTTTTCTTGCCGTTCGAGGGAGGCGACTTCTTCGGCTGACCCAGACTCGTGAAGGACTCTTCGAGATTGTCAGGCACGCAATCACCGGGCATGCCGGCGGCGGACATGCCCTGCGCTTGCGAAAGCGCTTGCTGCCGCGCAGCCGGATTATTACCGTCGTCGCCGTACAACGTCGGACGTGGTGCGCTTGATACCCCGTTGCACGGGGCCGACGCCTGGCGTCGCGGCGCCCGCGGCTGACATCATAGTAGCGCCACCGCGGCCTATTTGAGAAGCAAGCTGGGAGGTGGACGGTCGGCCGTAGATCTCCGCACCAGCATCGCTCCCGATCATCCCCATGTTGTAGCCGAGACTCGCGTACCGACCGTCTCTTCCGCCGCTAGGGTTGTCCATCACGGCGTCGGCACGCACATTTATTCCCTTCCCCACGACGGTGGCGTGTTTTCGCCACAGAATCGCGTGCGGAACTCGACGCAATGTCTCCCACGTGATCGACCATCTAGAGGAACACGGGACAATAACGCGCACCGCACGAGCGCTCCCCGCGAACTGAATGCGCGCGCGGAGTATCGTAACTTGACCTACGTGCCTAACCGCGGCGGCGGCGAGCCTCCGCGTGTTGCTGTGCTGTGCGGCCCGCGCGCCCCCACCACGGAGCGCCAACGCCGCGAAAAACTAGTCCGTCGTAATGCCACAGCCGCAACGGAACGGGGATCCGCGCCGAAATTGATATCGAAAAATCGCGCGATCGTCCAATTATCCTGACCGATCGACAAATCGCCCGGACGCGCTTCCGTTTCAGCGATATTCAGCCGCGAATATGAGCGCGCAGTGGTACATTGTGCGGCGAGAGGGCGTCCCCGGCTCCCATATTTAGAAGTAGACGTTACCATATTAGGGAAAGTTTGCCAAATATGGTGAACAGAGGTGGTCCTTCCTTTTCGAATGATCGCACGGCGCGTCGTTCCGAAACACCAATCCAACTGACAGTAGCGCTTCCTGCACGCCTTCCGGCCCCCTCTGGTTGATCTGTATTTCCATACGTGACCGCAAATCGCAGCGGCGGATAACTGTTATGGATAGGCGCGCTTCCGAGTTACCGCCGTTTGCTACGTGCCAACTTTCGGCACGGGATTAATCGTGCTCCGGAAAAACGCATAACCCTTAGGCAACGTCGTTCACGGAACTCTAATGAGACGTTAACGGCGTTATTCTGTCGTAGAACTCACGGTTCTAAACTCGCAAAACATTCGATGTAGAGATGTATGTTCGTTTCAGGGCGCCTGAAGGATGTTCACATACATTCCCGTGCAATAATGGATTTGTATCGTTATTAAATACAAGAAATTCTTAAATCATAATAAATGCTTGCTGCACAAGTTCACAAGTCAAGAGCATGATATTTTATGTAAAAGTATACTTGAATGTATTAGATTGCTGTATTACTGAAAAGCATTACCTATAGTGAATGATACAAATGCTATTATTTGAAAAACATTCAAAAACGATTTAAATGACTCTATTTTTACTTTCATTGTTACACCGACTATTATATCCATTACATGTATGGTCTTCTGCATCTGATTAAGGATATATATATACACATGTATGCTTGTAAAATGTTTGTATTCATATATGTATATACACAACTCATTACATAATAAAAATATACTTTCTAATTCATAAATATATATATTTTATTAAATAACTATCTTTCAATTAAAAAAAAATGTTTTAATAACTATCTTATGATTAATCAAAAAAACTTATTACAAATGACATAGGATCATACTTGTTACATTTCATTCTATCTTTATAACATCATATCTTACTATGCATCTGAACCATTTCTCTAAATAAATTCATGAAATTAAGGTTGTTCACCAGATGCTATTGTGCGAGCATGAGACATGAGAGCATCATGAATTTCACGAGCATATTGCACTTGTGCACGCACAGTCATCAAGAATTGTGGATAAGACAGTGCTGGTCCTTCTTGTGTATTCATTGTATCAGTGCGTGATGTTATAACAGACATTGGTAGATATCGAACTGAACTGGAATTTTGCGATAAACACTCCACAGAAGTCTTCAGATGCAGCTCTATTTGGTCGCAAATGGAATAAAATTCCTCCATGTTTTTATTAAATCGATTATCAGCGTGATCTATACATTTCGCAGATCCTATGTCAACCAAACTATTGTGATGCAATATCTGTGCTGCAACTTTAAGAGCCATGGCTAAAGAGTCTCTTAAAGGTCCGACCAGAGATTTCACTTTAGAGATGTTATCCAATTTGTCTTGCGTTTGTTGTTGCTGCTGCTGCTGCTGCTGCTGCTGCTGCTGCTGCTGCTGCTGCTGTTGCTGCTGTTGCTGCTGCTGCTGTTGCTGTTGCACCTGTTGTTGCTGCGTTTGTTGAGCCTGCTGTTGATTCTGTGACAATTGAGGATTTAATGGCTGTCCCATTTGTCCTACTCCCATGGCTCCTGGTTGTTGAATTGGTGGGATATTCATTTTGACTTCTATAAATATTAATTTGAAAAACATTAGTACATTAAACATTAATATAGGCTATTTTTTATATAACCTTAAATTAATTGTATCTTAGCAGCACATACAAATTTATCAATTTTCAATGTAACACAATTTTAACAATTTAACAAAACATTATTATTTCTTACCGATGTGTTTTAATAAATTTTTGACGATTATTTAAAGTCTATACACAAATATTAGAGGTTAAGAATGCTTTCGAAATGATCAATTTACGCACGGACGGAAATGCTAATTAGCGCATGCGCACAATATCATTGCACTGTTTCGAAAAATACTCGCTGTATCAATAAAAATACTCGCAGCTTCAATAATTAACATAATTTTATAACCATGTTAGCATCATAAACATAATTAAATAAAAATAACTGAGGAATAATTAAATTCAGTTTGTCAAAATATACCCCAATTATATTCAGTTGTTCTCTAATTTCAGATTAATTATCATCGCCAAATTGCGCTATGCTGTAAAAAAAGATTTTAATTGCAACAAAATTTTTACGAATCAGATTAAAACACATAACTTGTAAAAAATGTAATTCAAATTTTCTCTGAATCGCGCAAACGTACTAAATGAAAAATCATGCTAGTTTCACACTGCACTTCTCATTCAATATACAATTTCCAACATCCAATGAAAAGATTTATTTTTGTAAGACAAATATGGTGATAGAGAAAATCTCTAGACAACACATTCTTCTATTGGATAATTGATAGAAACATCGAATACAATATGAATCCGCCATAAATACTCTGTAAATAGAGCTTTATCGGCAGCCAATCAGCGCACGGTGACAGAACCGAGTCGAATTGTGCACGGCGTCCGGGTGAACCGACGCCATCTAACGACTGGCATTCCTGCTTGCTCCCGTTGGTAAAACCAGGGCCATCATCGAAGAAGCGCGGAACTCCTCGTCGCTCTCGTCGGTTTTGTTGTTTGGTAGAGGTGCGTGTTGTATATTCTGTGCGCTGCTTCTCTGCGATAATCGTCATGGCGCGAGTACGCCGCATGAAATGATAAGCGCGGAACGAGATTTGCTGCGTGCCGGCCAAGCGTTTGGGCGAACAAGCTAACCGTGTGCGTTGGCACGCAAGAGCGGCGGTCAACCTCCCCGGACACGGGACTTCACTGTGCTAGCGAATTTCTATTATTTGGCTGTCTCCCGCAAATCACAGGTAACAATTTGAGCAAGCGCATCGTCCCGATTGTGCTATCCGTCCTGCCAGCTGCATATCCGCGGCGAAAATTTACCCGTGTTTATGTTTACTCCTTTAATTACCCCCTCCCCCCGTATCCACTTGTCTCGCATCCCGCCTTTCTCGATTTTCTCGCCGTTTTTCGCAATGTTTCCGTTATCTTGCCACTATTTCTTGCATGCATCACCTCTGTTTTGCATTTTTCAACTATTAGTGCCGGGAAAAAGATATTTTTTTTATCAATAGATTATATTTGTAATATTGCTTAGATAATATTACTTGGTCTGCTAAAAGAATATACAGAAAAGTGTGAGACAGTGTAATGTACTTACAGTGATAATTGTGTTATATAAACTTTGTATTTTATCATATGATTCTTTTTCTTGTTTCTTAATTGTTCTGATATGTTCACAAATAGCAATAGATACGAGACTCATATCATGTTCAACTTAATTAGTAGAATAATCGCTGAATAGTAAGCAATCATTAATTAATATGAATGATTGTGTTATACGAAAGTTGTTTTTGTGTTTGAATCAATAGTAATAAAAATAATATGCTATTAATTTAATTGTATAATTAACATAATGTGTCGAAGATCGTGAATCTGATATATTAAATATATCAATTATGAAATATTATTTTATTTATCGCTAGATATCCCTTTGCAAATGTTCCTTTTGTAGAACAATAAAGTAGTTATAAATGACAACTATAAATATTAATAAAGAAAATTTTCATTGGTTTCATATAAATAAATAGAAAGAATTATTTCTGCGGTGGAAAATGAACGCATCTGCCTTAAAATCAACAATACCTGAAATAGGTACATTGCCGACTTCTACCAGCCATTCCATGCTCCCCATGAATGCCATGGCACAGAAAGTAGTACCAGGATCAGAATCCGGATCGATGAAACCTCTGACAGGAAGTGGACTGAGTTATGTCACACTGCAACCACCCAGTCAACCACTTAGTTTAGTGCAAGACCACAGACCTTCAGTGTATCAGACTCCACCTTACATAGGTAGCAACATGGAGAAGGAGCCAGAAAATGAGAAATTGATTCCGAATGGTGTGGAAATTACAAAGACAGAAACTGAGCAAGAAGTACCTGCTGTTGTAAAGCAGAGTGAGTCCAACAGAAACAACAACTTAAGCCCTGAAAATCCTGTTCAAGAGCAACCATGTGAAATGCCGCCGGAACAGCTAACATCCATAATGGAACTTCCAATAAATACTGGTAAGTAACATAATATTTTTTTGCCAACAAATAAATAAAGGTTCTTTGACATAAATATTTTTTGTATGTAATTTATATATATATATATATATATTCTTATAGCAGTATGCGTACCAGCACAAAATAAAGTTGAGGAAAAGAAAACTCCTGTAAATAATGGATCAAAAGAATCAGATGGCAAAGCCATTAATACTCCTGTACATACAAAACAGTCTCCACACAAGCCAGAAGATACACAAGTAAAGAATGAAGTTTCAAAACCTAAAATAACTGGTCAAACTTCTAAGGTAGTGAGCGATAATGCTGCTGCCACTTTAACTACTACATATAAACCTGATGCAAAAATTACTACCTCTCCGAAGACAGCAACTAAACGAAAATCAAGAGAACTGAAAGATTTGAAAGCATCATCTGCTGCGATTGCTGATGGGGCTAATAAACCTAAAAGAAATCGAACTCAAACACAGCCCTATCAAAGTCCTTTACCAGAATTTGCTTTATTGGTGAAAAACCTTAACAAAGCTCCAGCTTCTAAGGCTCCTGATGATAAGCTTATCGTCTTCTACAAGTAAGTATCCCATTTTATAAAAATCTTCAAATAATTTAATATTCTTACTAAACGTAAATTAATTATTTATTACTAGGAACGAATTTTTGGCTGTAAGAAATGCTGAAGGTAGCTTTTATGTCTGCCAAGCCATGCAAAACATTTATAAGTCGAGCAGACGTATTCGCATACGTTGGCTGTCTCAAGATACAACCAACGGTGAATTTTATTCGCCGGATTTCTATGATACTATAGGTATTGTTGGCTATTATTTCCACTCATAACATTAACACATTTGTCTATTGTATTACAACGTTGTTTGTATTTGTTTCTTCATCTTTCATTGCTTAATTTTCAGATTTTGATTGTATATTAACAAATCTGAATCTAAACAAAGTCGACAAACATAAGTTTTGGTTAACCAGAATAGAATTACTGCGCACAGAAAATATCCTGAAACGAGCTATCGATGTTGAGGCCGGGGTATCTGAGAAACCTCGGGTTACAGAAGAACATCCTGATGGACGTAAGTAATGATATTTCAAAATAATCGAGTGTGTAATAATTTCATTGTACATATAGTTTACTACATAGTTTGTGTCGAATAAATAATGTATAAAACAATGTTTTTTTGCAGTGGATCTATCACTTTATAAAGATGAATCTCAGTTGAAAAGAAGAAAAGGCGGCCTTCACGATAAGGCAAATCAGCGCAAAAAATCTAAACGAGTGACAAGTTCTACGGATGATGACGCAGACGAGGAAGAGTCGGATCGAATTCGGAAAGCGCCAAAAGCGAGCCGTGCAAAGAAACGATCTGTCAATAAAACACTGGCCATCGCCAAGTCCGTCGCAAAAGGCACTAGCAGGGCGGAGAGAGCGCTAAACAGAAGCACAAAGTCCGCCAATAATCTAGGCAGTGACGTTGAGACTGCAGCTGTTACCTCTGTTGCTACAACTGCTACTAGCATAACTGCTACTACAGCAGCTGCTACTACCGCTTCTACCGCAGCTACAACTGCCGTCAGTCCCGCTACTACCAATACCCCCGCCGTGGTGGATACCAAAAGTAATGCAGAAACGAAAAAGTTGGATTTGAAGAAGAACGGCAAACAGCAAAGTAACAATAACGCCAGAGGAGTTTCAAAAACAAAACTCGAAGGTAAGCAATTTTATACACGTATTTAACAATTTTATTATATGTATTTTATATAAAATATAATATATAATAAATATATATATATAGATATTAAAATAAATTATATATTTGTTACAATTTTTACGAGTTTTTATGAGCTGCAATATAGCTCATAAAAATATTTTTTACTAAATCGATAATACAATACATCACATTTGGGTTATCAAGATTTGCCAAATTGACAAGTTTTTATTAAAGCGTAACTGATTTGAAGGTTCTGCTCAACCCATACAACAAGGTAGTAAATCGGCAGGGCGTCCCAAGCGCGTGGCCGCCACTACCGGTGTTGTTTCGACCGAGGAGGCATCTTCTCCGAGAAAAAAACCACGCGGTCGAGCATAAAACTAACTTAACGCAGCTTTTTTATAGTATAGTTACAGCCGAGTCTGTATCGTAGGCAATATGTACGTGTGGTACACTTGAAATTGCGATCAATTTGTTATGTAATATATACGGAATATATACAAATATACGGATTTCGAGATTCTTAAATGTATCATGTGCTGCGATAATATTATAGTCCAATGATACGGGATCAACGACTTGTATCTCTGATTCGCCAAGTCGCATTTGACAAAAAAGAGAAGTTAAAAAATAAAAAAAGATTCAGAGATTTATGCGAGCGATATTGTGATATCATACAAAATTTGTACATATCGTCTACGTCTCAGACTCCTTCAGGAGAAGAAAGTCGTGGAATGTGTGGAAGCGGTACCTTGAGTTGAGTAATAAACTAATCTACAGGGTGTCACATACTAATGCACTCTTGCAATAGTCTATTTTTGATGTTGTGAGTGAACCATACGTGATTCAGTTGATTTTAATGTACACTTTCCATTGAATATGATATATACTATGTACAAAAATATACGTGTCTAGGAGGATGGAAGTTATGTATTCTGTAAAACAAGGAGGGAGAGAGAGAGAGAGAGAAAAAAACAGGAAAAGATACACAGAAACGAGAAAAGAAATCGTATCGGCGAAAACGAGAACAATCCCGAATAATGCCGATCCTCCGAGCTAATCCTCTATCGATCGGTAAAGGATCTCGAAGTACAATATACTACTGTACATTATGCTGAATCCTTGCTGTTAAAAAAAATAGCACGTAATGGTCCAGCGCCTATATAAAGACAGGCAGAGTTAAAAAGTGCCCTGAATTGTCTCTTTGTTGAGCCAAGAATTTGCGAGTGACTCGCGAGCGGAAAGTAGCACGTTGCTTATAGTTTGTTTTCCCTTTTATTAATTTGCATTTGCGACGACCCGTCATTGTAAAATCGCAGGGTTCGTACTAAGCAGAGAGACAGAGAGAAAGAGAGAGAGAGAGAGAAAGAGCGAGAGAAAGAGCGAGAGAGTGGTGCCACATTATTACGATTTAACCACATAGATGTAATTTTAGGTGAAGAGAAAAAAACACTTATTTAGATCGATAAATCTTGAATAAGTCTTAAATTGTATAAATTTTGATTTTAATGTTAATTTTAGCTCCTTTTTTTCGTCAAAGATTATAGTATAACGAAGTGTATATTTAATAAGATATGTTAGACGATTATATGATTTAAATGTTTTGCCAAAATTTTTTAATTCATATATATTTTAATATGTAGAGCGTATATATTTTATATTCTGTCGATGTACGTTCGTTGCTAAGTGCGCAAAGCTTACATCAGTGTTTTTTTTTTTTTTCCTCAAAGAAAAGCCATTAGAACATGTATCATTTAATTGTGTAATGTGTAATAAGACGTATATATTTGTTTCTTTTTCTACATTATGACAGTACATACTAGAAGTATGAGAATAAATCTTGCGAAGCAAATAGATTATTTATAATGTTATAAGAAATCGACGACTCCGAGCGTGAATGTGGGAGTGCTCGTACATCGTCGATTACAAGGATGCTAATGGGTTTTTTGACTAAGATTCTGTAATATGTGTAAACGTATTTTATACATCGACTGTTAAGATATTGACGTTTTCTTGCTTGATTTCGCCCGAACACGTGTACATAAAGCGATTAGATAATCAAAATTGTGCATATGAATGTCGAGGATTTCTCTGTGGCGTTTTGAGTGAAATCAGGGCGATTACATTGCGATTTTTTTAGTTTAGCACGTATTACACAACACCCGCTTTTTGTTTACCGAGTAATAATGCAACCCTCAATATGCGCTTGTTGGTTTTTTGATAGTCATGAGTGCTGTACAGTGAACGTTGGGTGCAAGTATGCGACTCCGCAATGCAATTTTAAGAGAAGAAAAAAAAACAGAACAGCATATCGATCTCTGTTCGAAAAATAGAATATGATATAATTGTCATAATTAAATGGTTAAGGTGGATTTAATTCTGGGACACATACACACACACACACACACACACACATACACACACACAAGAATAAGATATCAATCTTGTCATTTGGTTCATTGCACATTGTATTTGAGAAATATACGCGTATAAGACATACTGTGTGTATAAATTTAGTAAAGAATTCTCTAATAACAATATATACACACAGAATTGTTTGCTCATATTATTATTACTTAATTTTGCCATAGGAATACTTATGCATCTCTTTTTTTCTTTTTCAAGACAAGGTTAGCAACGTGCAATCAGTAAATGCAATTATGTGTAATTATCAGCATGTAAGGCGACACGATAAATTCATCATTCATTGATTAACAACATTGACGCAGCTTTTAGAGATTGTTCTTTATCGACTTTATTAGATATGTATACGACCAAAATATCTGGACAAAATATAATTCAAGCATAAAACGTTGCGCGAGAAATGATTCTTTTCGCTCACGAAAATTTATTTCGTAGATTTTCGTCGTTCTCTCAAATGGATATTTCACGTATATAATTTTCGTCTTACGCTCTGACAATTCTAAATAAATAAGAACAAATGTATCACCAAATGACGATATTGTCAATGCTATGTACTTGCATCTAAAACAAAAGTACCATTTGCAACGAGAAACACATTAAAAATTCTATAAATGCAATTACATAAATAAAAAAAGAACCTATGGGAGCACTTTTGACTCGCGTAACGATTAAGTGTCTTAACGTTAGCTCTTATTAGACATATAAGCGCTTCGGATGCTGGTTTGCTAAAGTAATCAAATAAACTAACTGTACGATGTATATATTCGTTGACATATATCGATCATGGCATCGATATGTAGGATTAAGTGATTATCTTTCTCGCACTATTTTATGTTCTTTTCTTTTAATTAACTTGTAGTGGCAATTACAAGTATATAATGTGTATATATTCTCGGTCGGACATTCGCAAGAATGAATCGGCTTTGCACGGTTTTTTCGTAAGTGGATAAGTCTTTTTGCTCGATTCGGTAATAAAATTTTAATAAAAGAAAACAGATAAATATCAGCATACGTAATTTTCTCATTTGTGAGCTCAAAAAGTTTGCAGCTTATGCGCACCTTATGATTAGCTGAGCCTCCGTTGCGATTCATCGATGAAAGCGCAGGATTATATTATAAACCCTTTCATGCGTGAATTTGATGAAAAGTTAGATAAACACTTCACGATCTTCTTACCTTTGAATTACGTCATTTCCACTGAACGTAGTTTTATTTTTAAATTATTTAGGATTACAATAAAATTTATATCTAATTATAAATCTTTTATAAGATATAACGACGTTCACTGTGGATGTGAGCTTGAGACATTTATTGTAAGGCCAATAATAGCTATTTAAAGCAGTAAATACATGATGCATGATAGGGTTAATAATAACTTTCAAGAATATTAAAGAATTGGTGCAATTTGTGGGTTCTTGTGCTATCCTAAGTGACAAGAATTTCATATACTTGTAAAAAAGAAACGTCCTCTCCTCGAGTAGAAGTTTCTTCCTCTGATTTCGACGAAAGTTAATTTGTCTTGTAGAATAGTCGTAAAGATAAGGGATAAACGTTTCACGAACGACCCGATTTCTCTGACTAGAGGGTGAGATATATATTACTTCATGCAATTCACGATGGTAAATCGTAAAGTTAACAGAGACACACACAAAAGTGTTTTGTACAAAGGTCTTTTGGTTATATATGTACAATAAAGTGACGTCCAGAAATATTGCGAGAAATAATTCTTTCAAAGCGAGAACAAAACGTACAATATAGACATTTTAATCATTCACGCTGAATTATTGAATGATAATATCGTGAAAAAAAAAAAATTATGAGATATTCAGTCGAACTGCACAAGCAACTGTAATATTAATATAAAAATGTATGGAAAAAATGTATTTTAAAATTTGCACCACCTCCAACTTAAGTTCATGCTATGTGTTAAATCGTGTTCCCTTAATTAGCTTCTTAATTTAAATATTTGAATTATCAATTTACTTTTTATTTCATTCGCTTTTTGCCGAATTATGTATCTCTAATAAAATATTTCACCAATACTGTGTCGATAAACCGACAGAGTATATAGCTTCCTGGAATTCTTACAACTTATCTCATGCAATAAGAACTCTCCGTTATGCATTACTTTTTCAGAAGAATGGAATGGCGAATATTTAGGTAAACTGTCTTATTAAATAACAATTATGTTAATTAAATAAAGTTCATATTGATTATATCTTTTTACATCTTATGTTATCTTTAGAACGTAATTTTTATATATAAGCATTTTTAAGGTTAGTTTTAAATAATAAACCAATATTCAATATACATTTGTAAAAAAATTATTTGAGCAAAAATCCTGAGAATAGCAACTGTGGAATCTTGCAAATAATATTTTTTTTAAAGGCACTTGAAATTTTTTAAAAACAAATTTTTAGTTATAAAAATTCAGTTTTGCCGAACGGGAAAAAACGAGTAAATTTAGCGGATCTTGGCAATTTCCAAGATATATATTACATTGCACGCAAAAATAAGACAAAATAAGGCAAGATGCGTTCAATAGATAAAACTTGATATAGTATAAAAATGTTTTAATAAATAACAATAGAAAAGTTACAGAAAAAATATCTACAGGGATTACAAATATCAATATATATAAAATTACGAGAGTCCCGCAATATATAACATCATCAAGGATCCTTATGAGTAACATTTGTCAATGCATCTAGTCTTAATATTAATTTAAAGTTCGTATTACTATTAATCGTTATCGCTGAAGGTAATTGTAATACTCTTCATCGTGATACCCGATTGAGAAATATTGTCGATTTTTATGGTTCCGTTTACACATGTGTATTGCGCAATATTAACAATATCAGCAATAAAAAAACGCCATTCAACTATAATAGTGATCGAAATTTTTGCAGCAAACTGCAGTAGAAAAACGAAGTTTGGAAGTACAGTTTTATATTGAATATGGAACAATTTGCATTCACAAATTGAGTAAGAAAAGGATTTACAAAAGAAGGACTAATATTCGCAAGTGGAAAACGAGTTACAAATTACAAGGCACTAGTAAGAACCCAATTGTCACTCTTTCTTGATATCCATTATACTTCGCGAATAATAAGAGCTTTACTTGTCAATAATATAAGGACTAGTAAAATATATGCAGGATGTAACATTTCTAAGATATTTTTTGACAGATTTTTCAGCAAAAATATCGAGGTAGACAGATCACTTATCATTAATCGTAACCTCTGAATGTTTCAACATTATATATTTTTATATAAATAAGAATTTTTAATTATATAAAATTTTATTAATAAACTACTATAGCTATGATTCACAGAATTAAATAAAAAAGAATTCGGCTGTATAAGGTCAGTTGTTCCTGTTTATGTTTCTATATTCCTTTTGTTCAACTATCTAATTGTGTTTCAATCGTATATACCTAACCACAATTATTAGTCTGAAAATTGATGGCAGAACGATTTAAAAATTTTCCAAGTACACTGATATTTCGCCGAAGAAAAATCTGTTCCAATATAGCCGAAGAATCTGTTAACAGCACATAAATATCCGATAGAAGTGAAACACCCTGTACATAAGAGATTTAAGCATTTACCGAAAAAAATTCCGTGCGTTCGCCGAATATACGGGTATACAAACACTTAAACCCGCGTTTCCTAGGAATATTACGTTTGGTAAAGAGAGTTATATCAACCTCTGATTACAGGAACATTGATACAACACAGTTCGATTATGCGTCGAACTTTGTTTTTTTTTAATAATAGTTTATGATTCTAGATCGCTTGTTTCCCTTAATCATAAGCTTGTATACTGAAGGAAGGTTTCTCTTTGGGATATTTTCTATGTACAACGATGGGTAATCGCAATTCACCGCGCTCGGATGAAAAAAATGCGTGAGTATATCTTCCCTTTCTGCCTAGGAATGTAATTTAGCTGTAATGTAGTTCTATAGCACGCTATAATCCATGCATCGCTTCTCAATTTCTATTTCAAAAAATGCGTCCACGAACATATTATACATATTTCATTATCAAATTGCAACCATAATCGGGTGAGACATTTCGATATTGCGGCAGCGTGATATATTATAAGCCTGAGATTTATAGTAACTATATCTTTGCTCAAGGAAACTTGCGCAAATAGTGTTCAGTACGTTCAATTCACGCCAAATGCGTATGCCTTCCGCGGTAACTTTCGACAAGTTGCGGTACCCTTTTCTGTTTGCAATATGAAAGAGTGCGATAAGAAAAACAATACTATTTTATCTAACCGATGTTTCGAAATTTACGGAGCAATGTAATGTCACATTTTGCAATACCCAGGAGAAACTCAATCGATTTATGTCGAGAAAAATACGCGATAATATATCGGCCTATTATTCGTCTTCATATTAACAATTAAAAATATAATCGAGTGATGTAGTATGTACAAATTAGTTTACACAAAAACAAACTGGAGATTCAATGAATAACTCACACGTCGGAGTACACGATTTCCTAATAAAATAATTGATACAAGAGCTCGCAATTAAAACGCCAAACGAAATTTAAACGACACACGATGTCAAAGTACAAATCACCTTAAAAAAATTTCTTCCTAAACATTTTTTTTATTACGTCGTGTTCGTGTTACGTCGTTTTCCAGATTCAAGAAGCTTAGAAAAAAAACAAATTTACTTGTCGTTACTAATTAGACCAACGCCTCGGCATGATAGTGATGATAATGATGATGTATGTGCTCGTGAACGTGCCTTCGGCCGGACGTGGCCGCCACTGCGTTCTGCGAGAATTCGCGTTCGAGCCAACGCACGACCTGTGCCATCGCTCTGGCCTGATCCTGTTCCCGTGTCGCGTGCTTCAACTGATGCTTCTTGGTTGTTCTACCGCTCTGCTGCGACTGGACGAATTGCGCGTCATTGCGCTGCACATTACTGTGATTGTTGATGATTGTCTGGTTGGCCGCCGTTTGCTGATTGTTAGGCACGAGGTTGACGATATTACGATGAGTATTGTTAATGTTGGTATTATGTTGCGATGTGTCCGTGTAAGCCGTCGTCGGCGCGATCACGTTACGATTCAGCATCTGGGGATACGTCGTGTAGGCTTGGGAAGAGGGATGCGTCGCGTTGTTCCTCGGTGTCGTGTGCCGCGTCTTCCTAAGATTCGCCGCCCGCGATTTGGCCGGCGTTTTGGGAAATGCCACGGAATGATGGGTGCTCTCACGAACGGGCTTGTGATAAGTCGGAGCCGTTTGACGAGACTCCGGAGATGCTTGGCAGTCTTGATTATGATTCGAGGTTTTTAAATTCGGACTGTGAGATGGAATGCGCGGTGTTTGTTCGTTTTGATGTCGTTTTCTGTAGACAAAATTGTAAAATTCGATAAATACAAACGAAAGAAGGTACACAATGTGAACAGAGTGCTAGAAATTATACATATACAATATAGAAGATATTATTTTTAATTAAATTATATATTTGAAAATAAAATTAAAAGATCACCAAGCATTTTAATTATCTATTACACTTATGAAGATTAATATCCGGAATATGTATGCATAAAGTGTATTAACTCTTTATGAAACTGATCGCAATCAACTCACCTTGATGTGTGAAAACTGAGATTATTCTTTTCCATGTTAGCCTGAATAATTTCCAGGAGTTGTTGCCTTTGCAAGGCGCCGCTGCGCTTTCTCTGATTCACTGTAAGAAGTGGCGTTAATGGCGAAAATGCGGGAGACGTGTCACTATCGTCGCTTACATCACCCTCCGAGCTATTTGAATAAGGGGATGGTAAATGGGGCACTGGACCGACTCTTCTACGCAGCTCTTCCTGCTGTACTCGATTTGTTCGGACATTCTCGTCATCGTCCTCGCTGTGAGTCTCCACTTCCTTCCGCTCAGCCTTCAATGGGAATCAAGACCAAGTCGTTCAAGTAATTCATTTATAGATTTCACTTCTCAATCCGAGATGCAATATTATCAAACGTTTTCGAACAGGCTTGTATTTATTATTTCTCGCATTGAGAAATTACACATTTGATTTTACGTATCATGATTAAAATTTGCAAAAAATAATTGAAATTCTGGAAAAAGAGAAGTATCGTTTGCGGATTCAAGGAGAAACGTTTACATTTCTTTTTTATACTTCTAGTGTTGCAGTTGGAATCTCGACTCAGGAAGCATATCGCGCGCGCATGGCTCGGATGTCGGAACGACCGATCGGTCGGCATGCGTGCATACATAGGCATACGAGAAATGTAGGTCTCACCTGACAACGATACCGCGGCGTTCTTCTCCTTCTGGGAACTCTGCTCGCGCCGTGCCGAGCGGTGGCATGCGTGGCGGCGGCGGCGGCGGCGGCGGCTGCTGCATGATTGCACGGGGCGGCGTGCTTCAAATGGCAACAGGACGACGCATTGTGATGATGGCCGGGTAACGTCGTGATCTGCGGCGTTTGCGTGGCATTTAAACAGGTGCTGGTAGCGTTCCGCTGTGCCTGGCTGCTGCTGCTGCTCGCCCGCTGATCCGGCGACACCGTCAATTTCACTTTAATTGTCTTACTACCACACGGCGGCACTTGTATCGAGGCGCCTAGCGTGTCATAGATGGTCGTCACTAAACCGGCTATGTCGTCCTTCGTAATCTTGCCATGGCCGTCGAAGTCGTACAGAGTGAAGGAGAACTCCTGCCGTCTCTTATCACCTTCCGCGACCGATACGTCGCATTCGAATTCCTGTACACTCAAAAAAATATTTCGTTGATGTAGTTAGATTTCTAGATATCGCAACAAGAATGTATCGCTATTTTTCGTATCTGTGAAAACATTGTTTGTCACATACAGAATTTATAGCAGTAATGTTCTAGCAATAGCTTCTGAAAAATTTAGGTACCATTGCTAAATGTTATTCATTGCATGATCTAACACGTGATTGATCTTATATAGATAGGCGCTTTAGAGAAACTTTCTTTTTAAAGTTCACAAACAATACAGATATATATTCTGTTTCTGTCATCTAAACTGATTAAGTAATTACATATGCAATATCACAACAATTGCTAATCATTTATCTGTTTTAGTTAATTTTTTTACACCTAGAAAATTTTAGCTATTATTGCAAGATCATTTTTTTGAGTGTAACAAGAATAGAATTGCTCAATCTAATCGTATATCTTAAAGCTTTCAAGAATAATTTGGATAAATTAATAGGTAAGATAAAATTAGTCGATATTACAATTTTACAAATAATATATTATCAAGGAAGTTCTAATAACAAGCATATAATTTATGCATTTAAAAAAATAATATAATTTTGTACATCTTCTCTTTCTCTCTCCTCTTCACTCACTCACTCTCTCTCTCTCTCTCACTCTCTCTCTCTCTCTCTCTCTCCCCTCCCCTCCATCTCTCCCTCCTCCCCTCTCTCCTCCTCCTCCTCCTCTGCTTTCCTTTCTTTCACTTATATCTTTTGAAATCTTTAAAATGTTACGCGATGTCGTTCGCTACGATCTTTCTTTTCTTACCAAATATATAAATTAAAATATTTCACCTCGAAACTAAGTTGTTTCGTTGTACCGCAAGTAGGCTGTTCATCATTACCGGCTGGTGCTGCAGGTACGCTTGAACCATCAACCGCGACCTGCGGCGGCTCCGCGGGGGGAATTAAAATCGGCTGTTCCGTCGTCGGCGGAGAAGAGATGTTGCAAGCTGTCGGTACGCCCGTCAGCAACTCCTCGGAATCGCTACCTTCCGTATTAGTCCCTACAACTAAACAAGTAAGAGGAAAGTTTATACAAAGACGTTGGGATTTCCATAGCTCTGAAACTAACATAAAATTAACCGTTGTTTAAAGGATGGAGTTAAAAAATATTTATTTTTGTTTATTATATCGAAAAATTCTAGCGGGATTATTTTATATCAATCGCTTTGTTATATATCGATGTCGGTCTGTTTCATATGAATTGCTTGCAGCGCGGTGCAAAGCTGCCCGCATGCTTGTTTTCCCATTGCGCGCGATCGCGATTCCTCTTCCGAGCGAGAGGAGCAGAGGAGCGAATAAAAGGCGGCATTTAACACACGCGCTGCGGCATCCGCACTGGTGGCGGTGTGCTGTCTGCTGCATGATGTTCAGCGCAGGCGGCGGTATTTTTACACTTCTCCGTGCCCAGTCATATGGCGTTCCGTCGGGGAGAAAACCTTTGAGGGTCTAGTAACCGGAAAAGCAGCTGGAATTTAGAGTTCTAAACAGGACCAACGAATTTAATGTCGGGGCACTGATTTCACATACTTCAAGGATTGTAAGCTTGGATTTATAATTTCAGTGAACAGATTTCGACGCTGTTAACAAAATGATCTCGACATTTATTCGTGGCGATATAACTGCATAAAAGTTTAACGCTTTCAGAGCGATAACAAAATTAATATTTAATTAAATCTTGACCGATATCTTATTCAAATTTGTAAATATATGAAAAACTGTTGATTTGACCAAAATTTTTGGAAAAAAGGAAACAAGTTTTGCTTTTATAATTGTTATATAAAAGTTAACCTCACATTTGCATATAAATTCTTCTGAGGTTTTTATTTTGTAATGCGTATTTACGCAACAGTTGGAAGTATAACTTTACACTTCAAAGAGAGAGAAAATAAAAAAAAAGGTGGCTTGAAAGGATATTTGTACATTTACAAAATATATTATAATTTCTGACTTTTTATGGAAGGAGAAAATGTTCTCATAAAATATTTGCTATCCTCAAAGATTTAATTATTTAATCTTTAATTTCTTAATTTTTATCTATTTTACTTTTATTAATGTTACTTTTATTGTCACGATTAGCATCATAATTTAATATAGTATTCTGATACATTTATTTTAATCACACAACTGTATTTCTGCATCATGTGATACTTATTGCTAATTTTCAATTTTGAAGTTATATACATTAGTAAATCATTATGCACTATACTCAACACGGTGTAAAAAAAACGGTTATCAGCCATAAACCGAAAAAATTATTGTTAAAAAACTGCTTTTTGTTTTCCAGATTTGTGTGCCAGCCTCTCGCTTTGAACAACATTTTAGCTTTTACATTCTGAATTGTAAGCTTCAGTTTTATCGTCAACCATTGTGTATTGGGTCATAAACTCGTCCCAGCTAACGGGTACAGAGCGCGGATGTACGATAGACATAGCTGTTAAACTCGGACGACAGACGATACGTGTGCGTGTCTGTGCATGAGGAACGCAAATTTACCTTCGACATATGATACTCGTGCGTTACAAACTACTACCATAGCGAAAACTAATGGATACTCAGTGTACATTGTTTTTGGAAGTAGCAACTTAAGGAACATATTACAAGTACTTTTTTCAATTAAAACTTTTCGCAATTTATTATTATCAATTATGAAAATATACTACATATTTTCAAGCTATTAATATATTATTTCTGAAAAATTCACATTAACTGATTTATTTTAATAATTATTTCAGTACAATTGTTGTATGTAAGAGAAACAATCCGAAACTCGTTACTTTGGCACTGCACATTTTGATTTTTATGATCGTTTTGGAGGTTTCTTGAAATTTTACAATTATGTCATCATTATCAAGTAAGTAATTTTACAATTAAATATTTGTTTACTAAGTTTTAGAAGCTATAATCGATCCATAATATCGATCAGATTTGTGAAGAATTGGAGTACTATAAAAGAAATTCGAAACGGCTTTGAAAAACTGTTGTTTCCAAACGTGGGTACCACAATTTCCACTCTATTTTCAACAAAACGTTACGAGACAAGGAGTGTAGACTACAGACGCCAACGAAAAGCTAAGAAAAATGTAAGTATGACGTAATACCACGTGGTATCAATTTGATATTTAAACATTATCTGTGGCTAACGACGGTCAACCCTCGCAGCAGGACGATTGTTAGGCGCCACGCTAAACTGAAACATTCCTTTTATTCGATAGACCTTTTTCCTCCATCCTCCTCATTCTTTAAATATTTTCTGTCAAGACTATTTAGTTTTTATTGAGATAAAAATTTTTGTAAGAAAACAAAAAAACAGTAGAAGGTGCGTAAAAGAACATTTTTATCATACAATATATATTTCAATTATTAAAAATGCTTTCTCAATTATTAAAGAGAAATTGAATAAATTCAAAATTTTTTTAACAAAAAAATCTTAAATCTTTTTTTTGGTTAAATCTCTTTTTCTAACAAAAAATGATTGAATAATGTTTATCTGAAATTATAATTGATATGCATATTTTAATGTTATACAAATATATTAAAACAATCTTCAAAGAAAATTAGAGAGAAAATTGCGATTTTATTTTATCTATTGTGCGTGAAAAGAAAAACAGATCGATTTCGTTATTAAAGTTGGATTGTTTTCTGTAAAAATAATTGCTTATCGACACACCTTGAAAAACAAATCTTATTAATTTTAGCACATTCTATAACACAGAATCCAATTTAGATAATACGGTATCAATTTAAATCTTTATTTAAGAATTTATATTTTTTACAAATCTCTAAATATATAGGTTTTTTCTTTTAAGAACAAGCAGATTGTCGAGTTTTGCGTAGCATTCATGTGATATAATCGTTTTCGCAATGAAATTGCGTCCTGTTATCGTCGTAAACAAGTACCGCGTCATCGCAAGTATTGCATTTAGGAAAACATTTCTTGAAACACAATGTATGTCAGTTACAACAAAATATTACTGTACATAATTTTGAAAGAAATAATGAGGTTTACAAATTGATTGCTAATTCATATTGCTTATCTCAATTACAAGCTGAATCTGATTATAAAGCAAGAAAGCATTGTTTAACTTTTAATAGAAAAAATAAAATAAATACAGCAATGAAATTTCTTGTATCAATTTGTGCATTGATTACAATTATAGATTTATTTAAGAATGACTGTTATCACAGACACAAGAATTTGAATTCAACAAAAATAAACATTCTGTATTTATTTTTTTAGGGCTGAATCGAGTACGCTTCGCAACATCTTCGACAATCGCGAGTCTTGATATCGTTGCAGCGAAAGAAGCATCCAAGAGGAAGAAAGAATCATTACCAGAAAAGGGTCTGTAGCCAGCGAGAAACCTTGCTCGCCACCACTTTACCAATCCGGTAGCCATGGGATCTTCATGCGTGCGTGCGTGCTTGCGATCGCCGCGATTCCTTTTCCTCCGCACTTTATTGCTCGCTCTTGAACCACGGTAGCGGCGAACACTTTGTATTTCTTCTGCAATTTGCCGATTTGTCGTCCTGAATGCGCGCGTTCTTTTCAGGTACTTCCGGTTAGGCGTAGCTTTTCCATCAACGATCCTCCCCACATCGCGGTCGATCTGTCAGTCGGCGGCGATCAGAAAACAATACGAGGAACACCAATGCGCACTCGGGTCGTACACACTATTGAAATTCCATACGAGCGCTCGTACACACTGTACGCGCGTACACAGGACCGCCGCCGTCGCCGCCGCCGTTGTCGCCGCCGTCGCAATACAACACACTGCACACACGTGCTCGTGGCGGAGCCTGGCCGAGCGAGCCCAACGGCGTAAACGAGCGACCGAGCGAATCCGACAGTCCTCACGGCATTCACTCGGGGAATTCACCGCGGCACCGTTGATAGGACTTCGTTTTTGTCGCTCGCGCAACGAAGCGCAACGACGGTCGGACGCGAGGTACTGAGACCTCCACACAGGTACAAACCTGCTCGCCTCGTGGCTCGGACACTACTACGGGCGCTCGTCCTCGCCTAAAAGCACGTTCCCCGTAATTCCCTACCACCACCACCACCACCACCATCACTGACACGGCACCATCGCCGCAGCAGCCATACCACCGCGCGGGCCAGGCAAGCAAGCAAGGCAAGGCAGCCCGCGCTCCTCGGCTCGTCGTTGCTCAGTGCCGAGCCGAGGATACGCGGACCCCGAAGGTAGGAGGCGCGGCGACCCTCCAACCTTCTCTCTCGCTCTTTCTCTTATTTTCTCTTTCTCCTTTGCATACTCGTTTGCCGGAGAACGAGCGCGCTGTCTTCCTCCGAAAAGCTCACAGTGTAAAGCCCGCTTTATACGATCCGGAACTGCAACAGGCTTCTATCCCTAGAGAATCGCGCACACATCGTATAATGTGTACATAATACTGCAAAATTTTATCAAATGTTTAAAACGTTCCGTTTCTATGACGAAAACTGAAGCGAAAGCCAGATATGCAATGAATATCGGTAAATTATAATTTTAATTCAATGGCATATTACAAATTATAGTTTTGAAATATTTACGATTTATAGAATTCGGAAATACGCTCTCTTTGGGAAGTATAATTCTGCTGCAAATGTTTTGTATATTACAGGCGGTATAAAACGAGCTTAACACCGAGGAAGGATTAGCATCACGCTGTTATTCTCGCGTTTTGATGCGAAAAGAGACGACACGAACGCCTGGCACTATCTCGAAGTTGACACATTAACGCGAATTTCACACTCGGTCAATATTATTGATTAAACAATACTTACACTATTTTTTTAAATATATAGAATAGGTTTGTCCCATTCCATTAGCTGATTTTGTATGTGTTGAATGCAATTTATAACTTGACATTGCGATTTTTGTGTAACACGTCACGAAAGGATGCCGCGACAGCGGCGGCCGATCTTTGACTCTGTCGTTTCCGGAGTATGCAAAACGACGCCGTGTCGAGCATCGAAAATTACGAACGCGGTGATAGACGCGCATGTTACTGTGATTTGAACTGCAAATGTATTCCTTGCAATTCTTTTTGCGCGAGATTAATGTCAAGTTCAGGGCGATTTTCAAAAGCTATTTTATCTCCGTAAATCACGAGACTTGGGATTCTTTTCGATATTGTTTTTTAATTCTTGCTACTTAAACAAATAGTCGCGAATTGCCATTCGAGATATTACAATGTGGATATAAATAGAATTAGGTGAGATCGATATTGCCAAACATCAATTAATCCTCACGTTGCACACTAACGTATGATATGACACTGTTTATCAAAATTGACTTAGATTATAGTAATCACGCGTTACAGTAATCGCCGAAATTTAACCGCCAACTATTGGGAATCGATAAAGTTGAGAGTTCATTATTTTCTTTATTCGCGCAATAAGTTGAGCATTCCTCCTGCGCAAAATTACAGTGGAGGCTCACAATCGCGGACGTCATCAAAAAGAAACCCGAAACTGCGGTCTATTTTTGGTAAAATCGATATCGCCATTGAATCTCTTTGGTGTTTACGTCAACGGCACGCACATTATCGTTCACAAACAACACACAATTGTGTTTGTCGACACTTGAATGAATCACAAGTCAGACGATGAGTCAGATGAGAAAAGAACGCGAGGGAAAGGGGCGAGCAGTTTAAAGAAAAGCGCTCAAATTTCGCATTCCTCCCTTTGTTGAAACATTCTTTATTGATATTGCTTCACTGAATCGAAGTACTGCGCAGTATTACTCGGAAAGGTTCTGTGTCAAATCAGAAATACTCTTTTTGGAGACTGTACCCGTACGCTATTATCTCCTAGCGGTGTTTCAGAAGAAACATAGGCGTCACCATCGAAAGAGGCTCAGCTGCTTTCGGGATGCACCGTTTCATCCCTCTGGACATTTTGCTACCGATGCTGTACACAACTGCCAGCACACCATGCTCGATGGAAATAAAAAGAGAAGAGAAATAATTGGCCGTGACAAAAAACGGCGGGGCTCTTTGTGAGTAACACAAAATTAAATATTATATATCGTGATATACTAACACTCGTATGCTTCTATGCGGTATCTTTTCAGTCAGTTTTCTCATTGTAGGGCAAAACAGCATCAAACATATTTGCAAATTTGTAAATTAAATCTCATTGCTTTATCAACGATTTAATCGAGTCAAATGATAAAGAATGGGACAGTAAGATAAAGTACGTTAAAAGCTTGTTTCGACGATAATTTGATAATATTCAAGTTGTCAAAATATGTAATATCGAAATATTATATTAAATATTATCGTGGAAGATTTATTCTCTCATTGATAAACGAAATGGTCCAATATTTATCTTTCATTTATTTTATCAATAAAGTTATCGCATCTTGAAAAAGGCAAAATAAACTCGAGCGTAACGATAAGATTAAATGATAACGGAATACGTTGCAATACGGGCGAGATTCCGAGAATCGAGATTTCAAACGAATTCCGCGTTTGAAATTTTCTGTTACAGGATCCTGAGCGACGACGCCACTGACCGGTCGGTCGGCCCGAAGCATCCCCCTTTGCACTCCCTATACAGAAAGGCTCTCTACCCGCCATGCCGTGCTGTGGCGTGCTGTGCTGCGTCGCGCTGCGCCGCGCTGCGCTGTGCTACGCTGTGCTGTGCCGTGCCGTGCCGCGTTGCGGTACGGTTTGCCGTGCCATCCTCAGCCGCGTAGCGTGGCTAGTTGTTTCTTTTCTTTATTCCTTTGTCGGAAAGTCGGCGGCAAGTCTCGTTTTTAAGAGGCGGCAGAGAGGATTGGCGAAGGATGGAAAGGGGACGAGGGAGAAGAGCGGCGGCACGGCAAGGGGAGGACAGAGGCAAAAGCGAAACGACGGACAGCTAGCGGGGTTGCGAGGGGATCAGAGGAAGCGGGATGGTGGTTAGGTGGTATGGTAGGGGACAGGGGGACGGAAGAGAGCCCCGTGCGCGCTGTTCGGCAGTAAGGGGAATAAAACACGCGGCTCAAAAACGCGGGTACAGACTAATCTCGAAATAACGCCGGCAGCGAGCTCTCTCTCTCTCTCTCCCTCCCCCTCTCTGTCTCTCCGTGAATTCGAGTCATCTATTAATAATAAACTATTTCCAGATGCGTCTTGTGCCACCGGCAAGAACTCAATCGCCGACTCTCTTATCTCTCTCTCTCTCTTTCTCGCTTTATCGTACGCCTTAAATGATTTCACCGGTGGTCACCTACGCAACACGTAGATCACAAACAAGGATTAAAGTGGATTGTAATGTTGGCGGATTCGATTTCCAGCGTCACGTGTAAATATAGGGATTATTTGCATCCGTCTGTAATGTCGGAAGCTTATTATTTCGTACGCTTGATCGCGCGAAACGAGGAAGTGGCAGCTGGACACCGCGCATTCGCGACGTCAACATCGCCGATGGGGAGCGCTCGAGAGCGAGGCTCTCGTCGCGCGCATACAGAGACACGTCGGCTGATAAATCGGCCGACCGACTGTCGTACACCGTGCACGAGCGTGTCGATTAACGGCGTCAAAAAGGCGAGGTAAATATTTATCGCGAGAGATAGATGAAAGAGATAAACGGCGGTTTCTTGAGGAGAGAAACGGAAGAGGCATATAGGGACCGTGTCGCAGTTCGTGCGGCTGCGAGGTGCACGGAGGCTCTCGTGACGCGCAGGACAGGATACGGAGAAGGCTATAATACGGTTTTACCGCGAGCAAGCAAGCGCAGCGAGAGCGACTCGCCGGCGTCGGTCGGTTTTGCCGGACTCTCGGCGCGGCCGGACGATACCGGTGGGAAAGAGGAGGAGAAAGAGAGAGAGAGAGGGAGAGAGAGCGAGACCATAACGCAGAGATCGAGGCGGAGGAACGAACGAACGAGCGAGCGAACGGTGGTGCCTTGGTCGTGTTACGGCGCGGGGGAAAGGAGGAAGCAGTCGGTGCGTTTGATCTCGGCCGCGGGCGCCGACAAAGCGTTCGTCCACTCTCCTTCAACAGCGAGCTGTCCCGTGGGCGTGTAAGCGAGAGCGGCGACCGGGTATTCAATGGGAGAAAGAAAGAGTGAGAGGCCGAACGAGCGAGCGAACGCTCGCGTGAGCGACAAGGACGCGGAGCGGAAAGAAGAGAGAAAGCGCGACGACGAGCGAACGCTGGCGGTAGAAGGACCGCGCGGAGAATAAGAAGGGTGAAGAGAAGTGGGCAGGGAGGGGCGGAGGGGGGAGGGAGCGATCTAAAGTAAAAGAGAGAGACAGAAGAGACGCAAAAAAGGAAGATCCCCGATGAGGAGGCCGGAGAGAAAAAGACACGAAGAGATCCGTTCCACGATTCATCGTGTTGTTGCGCTCGTTCTAGCATGGCGCTCCGCGCCACTCCCTCATAGCGGCGATGCACACACCATCGGGTTTGCTATTAATAAATAATGCTCTCTGTGGGCCGCATTACAACTAAAATTCCTTCCACCTCCGTCGTCGTCGCCGCGGAGGACGTATTCTCGATTTCGAACACAACCGCTCGTGAACTCCACCTCTCCTTCTGTCCTCGGCCGACACGACGGACACGCGGTCTGTCACATCGGAGGGACGCATTAATGTCCGCGGCCTTCTCTCTGTGTATATATGTACGTTGCGTTTCGTGGGATCGCCGCAAAAGAGAAACGCGTCAATTATTTTACGTTGAGAAAAAGTGCACCGCAGCGGAGGGGAAAAAAAACGAGCCTCCGGGACCAGCAATGATTATTCGTAGTTTGACGAGAATTACGTTTTCTTTCACAATATTACTGGGTTCACGATGAAATATTAATCCATTTTTAATTACGTGGAATAATTGCATATTGTACAATAACGAGCGTGCACAAACAAAAACATCTATCGAAAGATCCAGTTACTTATTACACAATATGCTATTCTTTTCCTGATCTGTAATATTTTAAAACTTCCAGTAATAATTAAGCATTGAAATTTTGTTATTATCGAAAGAATGTGCAACATGTTGATCGATCTCTCGCTTGCTTTGTTAATTGCAATTCAAAAGAGGCGTATCGCAATTATATATATTTAATTTACATACGCAAATAGCCAAATTATAAAATCCCCACGATCGATGACCCGACGATAGCCGTTCGAATAACGCGTGACACATAAATGATAAGGGAGCCTTTGAAGTGTCCCCGGTTTCCGCGCCCAATAAACCGACAAAAGCAGCCGCCACGTATTATAAATTACGGCGTTCATTAGGAAGGCAATAGTTGTGCACACGGTAATAAGAGACATTAAGTCTGAAAGCCCGTGAGCGGTACGTACGGGCTTTCGAAACAAACAAACAAAAAAGAATAACATTAAATTAATACACGGATGATTCAAACCTAGTTTTCTTGAGCTCGAAAGTAATCGCCGATAGAGTTTGTGATAACGCGGCGAAGAATCCCAGACGTCTCTTGGCGAGATAGCGAGACGTAGTATTTAAGCGACCACTCTTCGATGAGAGTGCTTTCGTTCATTGAAGACCTTGTGTTCGTTTTACTCTGAGCGAGGACTATGGTCGATTGGACAGCTGCCTAGTCGAAAAAAATAGAATAGCAAAAAAGAAGGGAAAAAAAAAACGTTTTAAAATATTGAAAATGTTTGCAATAATAATGCGAAGTAATAATAAAATATTTTAATATAGATATGTAGTTGTAAAATGAGCAATACATTTGATATTATTTTTATCACATATTGACATAATCAAAAATATATCTAGATAAGTAAATATAAATTTTAAAAACCACATGGGAATTTTTTTGTATTCTTTTAATGATATATGATTAATTTTAATAAATTAAAATTTGTGAAAAAGTCGATTTAAAAAATTTAATATTTTAAATATTTTATTTCTGAATTGTATATAAAAAAGTATACTGAATATATATACGATGGAGATTAAATCCATTCGAGATATTTTTAAAATCTCTTTGAAAGTGAATGACTAGTTCTCAGTCACCAGTGTCATTTCTGACCGGTTTGGATATTACAGCAATTCGTTCCGGTGGTTCCATCTAACCACTGGAATTGTTACTTGACTGCATCTTTTGCAGTACGCCGGTATACATTCGTAAGCTAAATTGTATCCCAAATGAACAAAAAGATATCTTTTAAGAGATATTTTAAAAGATATCTTTTAAGAGATCTTTTAGATGTCTATAGATATCTTTTAGATATTCTATAAAGATATCTTCAACGAAACTTTTTTAGACATCTTTTAAATAACTTCTAGATATCTTTTAGAAATATCTTGAAGACATCTTGAATAAAATATCTTTTCGATGTCTCCAAGATTTCGATGTTTACTGGGATGGCATTTGATTAAATTTTTCTACGACGCATATAAACAAATAATTTTTATAGCGTTATAAATAATAGAATTTATTCCTGTAAAATTAATCTGAAATCTATGATTTGATTGAATAACATCTGCAATTGTAAGAAATAAATTTTGCTTGTCAATTTTTTACACTTAAAAATATGATGAAAATTGATACGCAATTTCTATTTGAAACTTTAAAATTTATTAATTTATTACTCTTTATAATAAAAATTCTTTATTCTCTAAAGTAATCTTGAAAAGAGTTATTACATAGATTTTACTAATGTTTTGTTCTAAAAAAGTTCACAATGGAAAATTACAATGGATAAGAGCAAGCGATAAATATTGTTAAACTGTGTTTTGTCTTGATTAACTTATTTAAATACTTTGCTCCTTTCAAATTAAAATTTCAATGAAGCCCGAAGTAACAAATTTTAAGGAAAAATTTCTTTATCTGAATTTTCACGGATCGTTTATACACCGATAGATTATCAAAAGCCAACCGAAAACGTTCGTTTCTTGAAGAAAAATGCGACGTAATCGGCTCGACATTCATTGACCTTTTGCACATTAAATGTGCGGCGACGATAAACCGTGACATAAATTATAATAATCTTGCGTCCGACGCCGGTCTCGCACGTCCTATAATTCGATGCTTAATGATAGCGGCAGTCGTCGGGGTTATTCGCGTAATTTTGAGATATCCGTTCGATCAAAAGTCCAAACCGGTCTTACGACAGCATATTGCCGAGAGGGGACTTTAATTGACTAATAACGCGAGACATTTCTCAGTTAGATAAATCTCTCGAACAACATACAACATACCTACCGATATACCGTAAGTCAATCAAAATCTTCATCTCGTGATCGATCATTCGTATTCATGCTAGTCAGATTCAATTGGATACCGGATGCGGAGTTTGCATGCTAATTTCGCTATATAAGGAATCATCGTTGAGGCATTCGGTCATTAGCGAAGTGCGTTTTTTCCCGTCAATCTCGAGTTTCCTCCATATTTTTTCATATCACTCAGAGTGAACCATTGTTCGCGGAGTCTTGTGATCCGCAAATTAAAAAAGTTTGTACATCTCGTGATTAAATTGTGTGTTGCGGTCAAAAAATATTATATATACATAAAAATTACATAAAAATATTATATACTCGTGATTTGTCGGAGAACATTATAATTTATAGCATTATCATGCCGCATAATTCTCCAAATTGTGTATTATATGTAAAGATTGACTTTATGTTTGAAGTAATATTTACATACTTTAATGCAATTTAATCGCGTTCTGATTCTGAATTTTGTTTTGCATTAAATTCAGCTTATATAAATTTAATTTATCTCGTAATTATATTTACAATGGATATTGACAAATAATTTAATTAATTTTTTAGTGTTAATTAACCGACAGTTCTGACGCAAGTGTTTTACGTAAAAGTAAATTCGCGTTAATTGTATTGTAAAACCACATAAATTGTTTGCTACATTAATTTTTTTTTAAACGATAGAAAATGAAAATGCTTCTGATCGCGATTGCACTACTTGTGGCTGTCGAGGCTAAAGCTTATCAATGGGCAACTTACGGACCTAACATTCAAACTGGTAGAGGAAACAACCCTCCTCGCGGACCAACGTGGATGCAACAACAAAATCAAAATAATATATTTGGTCCCGATGTTGAATGGGTGTGCCAAAATCCCAAGACGAATGATTTGGTAATGTTGAAAAACAAAAAAAAATTCGTATCTCTCAGTTAAATTGCACAAAATGTTGCGCAGAACGTAACTTAAAAAGCACTTCTATTTTTGTAGATGATTATTGCCGCCGATAACACGCAACACCGTCATCCTGGTAGAGGACCGTGGCAAAACGTTCCACCGGGACACCAAAAGCATCAACAGTATTGGCCTCAACCGATTATTATTGTTGAAGAAAGACCTGATAATAATCAAATATCGCCGTCTCCTCCTCTTGATAATAACAATAACATTAACAATAACAATAATAACAATGATAATCAACCACAAACCACGCCGCATTATCATGGTGGAGAAGGATTAATCGATGTCAGAATGGGAGCCTAATAAATAATAAATTGGTAAGGCTCTCGATGCAAGATTTATATTTCTTAAAAAGACATTGATTTAAATTGCACAAATAAAAACAAAAATATATACAATTTTATATCTATATATCGTCCCCCTTATTCCAAAACCACGAATGTTGCTAATTTTCCGATTTTTCAGTAATATAATTTTCTTACCTAATTTTGGACAACGATGTCAGAAACGCGAATGCGATAGCGACAGTAAATCAATGCTTGAAGGAATTACAAGAATAAAACAAGAATCTGATTTTTCGGAGCAAATTAAATTTTCAAATAGCAATAACTAAGCTACAAAATTGCACATTCGTGGTTGCGGCATAAAAGTGACGATATATTATATATATATTTGAACTCACATTTATTATATCACAATTAACAATTAACAACATTAAACAAATAATAATAATCCGTCTGTCTGATCAATGTTATGTTATAGTTTGGATATCATCTGTATTAGAATGTTTCATACGATCAAATCAGAGTCTAAGGAGATAATATCACAAAAGTTATGAAGAAATTTCATAAAATCAGCTAAAATTCTTCTACGTAAAATTTATAGAGTGGAGTAACTCACTTATGAGCGAGTCCGATATGATTTACTTGTGATAATCAAATATAGATGTAACATCATGTAATTATCGAAAAAATCTGCAGAATATAATGTGTTGTCATTATACTTCTTTGTCGTATTTACTTTAATTAGATGATTTACTTAAAATGCATTTGAATGTTTCCAAGATTTGAGGATCTCTATACGCTATTAAGCCTGTACGATTAGAAAAATTCGTGCCGACAGGTAAATAGTTCACATTCAGATTTTCCAAGTTGGAATTTGGATGCACGATAAATTCTTTGAATTCGATGATGCCTCCGCCTACTGATGACAAAAGGGCTTGCGGTCCGCACGTGTCCCATTTATAAGTGGAACCCTTTGACAAAATGTAGGCAGCTGCTTGTCCGAGAGCAACGCTCAGTATCTTGTATCCTGCTCCTGTCGCCTCCACCAGTCTAAATCCGCTATTTAATAGCTTTGATTTCACATCAGCGTCTTCGAAACGGCTGAGTAAAATGATTTTATCATCATTACACGCGTTGCTTATGGAAGACTTGCTAATGCCACTTGCCAGGAAACCCCAGTAACACCTTCCTATCCATCTGTTATAGAGTATATAATTAATATGTAACTAATTGAATTAATTTTAATATAATACATAATAAAGAAAAGAACACAAAGCTCACATTAATATATGAATATATTTTTGAAATATTACGATTAAACAGCTCTTAATTATGCACAGAGAATATATTTCCGGTCTAATGGACACATTCTTATTGCGTACAAAAATACACAAAATAAGAAACAAGTTTATATTTTGATTTTATCCAAAAGCTTATCTCGAAATTCTACTTACTGCGAGTCTACATTGGTGCCAAAAGGTTGATTAACTACACCCAAAACCGGTACTCCTGTACTTTTCTTATATGCCCCGATTAATACGGTGACACAACGTAAACCGCTTAAATGTAATTCCGTCTGCTCATCCACCGCTTCCGTTGCGCTTATGTAATCTGCTGTTGAATCTACAAAAGTTCCACGAATTGCTCCACAGGCATGCATTATCAAACTACAAAACAAACAGAAGTTCTTACAAGTGTTGCGTCTCAGTTTAGAGGCCAATTATGATTCTTAGTAACAAGAGAGACATAGTTTTTTACCATAATACTGTCCAACAACTTTTGTATTTTTTCACTCTTGCCCTGAATTAATGTAAATTTACTAAATATGAATTGAATATATGCAATGACAAATTGTTATTCTTTTTGTGTTTGTGTACCTACCAATTGGATCTATCCAGATACCAAGATCATCTACATTGATGTCAAAATCATCGGGGATCTCTAACGTGATTGGTACATCTGAAAGTTGAACATCCTTATGAACTTCAGCAGCGAGTAATTCTGCTGCCACAACGTCATTGCCCATAACTTTAGTCAGTAGTTGTGTTGTATCTTCGCTGCACGAACAGACATCCACAATAATAGACTCTCCCAAGGTATTGCTAAATACATTGGTTTCTTCCCCTTGTACTAGCTTAGCTAATTCTGGAAACTATTTATGACAATGAGTTAAAAACTGAAAAAGTATAAGTTGACATTTTATCAAAGTTTGGAAGAAAAATCTGCCAACTTACCTCAATCTCTATATCATGTCTGATGGTTTCTTGAATAAGAACATCAGCTAATGTTTTGAAATCCTGGAAGAAGCGAGGATTTTTTTCTTCTAGAGATTTTTCTTGTACCAGCAATTGAAATAAGGCTTCTTTCTGTCGACAAGTCCTGGCAATATTTGCTGCCTTCTCTGAAGCTTGTAGAAGAACTTTTAGTAATCTGCTGCCACTTCTCATTTTCTTTTCTGAAAAAAGATTTATGATAACAATAAATGGCAAACTAAAATTCTCGTTGTTAATATTATTATTGTTATTTATATATTTATTATATGTATTGAGAAAGAATTGAATAGATACATTATACTGTTGATGAAAGAAGAGAGAATCCTTATAAGCTCTATTGGATAAAAATTAAAAGTATTGATTTTCTATAAATATAGCGTACATAAAACATCTTTGTGCATTATACAATTATGCCAATACTAACTTCAAAATATAATATTGTTATCTCAAAATATTAATAATTTAATTCCATAAGAAAATAATCACAGAGATCATAGAAGAAATATTAAGTCTAATGTATATGTAAATGTTTAAATTATACTTTACAAAGTATGATTTAAATTTTTAATTACAATTGAGGAAGTTACACACAAGAAATTTTTTCCATCAATATTCATAAATTCAAAAATTTTTAATGCGAAATAATAAGTATCTTACGTACTATCGAATAATATTAGGAAGATAAAACAAGATATCGAATATTTAGATAAATTACCTAATTTAATATAAGCAGGCGCGAAAGAACTATCTCTCTCTTATGCACAAGATACACACTATACTGCGATTATTTCCTCTCTGACGTCTGCGGATGGACGCGTGAATGTATATGCGTCAATCGAAGTCATACTTGCGCAGTGTCGGAGATATCGCACGTCACGCGCCGATTTATTAAAATTTGCGGCTTATTTGAATATTAAATTAATAACTCGAATTTACGTTGGAAAAGATTGAGAAAAAGTGTACAAAAAAAAAATTGCTAAGTTTTAAATATTAATCTAATAAAATTCTAAATGCGTATAAAACACAATTTTGAATATAAGCTTATGAAACTGAACTAATTATATCTAATTGCTAACTATAATAATTAGTCATCTATAATTTATTCAATACATTCAACTCATATTTGTTAGTATAACCTTAGATAAACAATGATCTGGGATTACATCAACAATTAGGTTAGCTCTACTTAACATTTTGAACTAACAGGCTGATAAATACAACTCGGAAAAAAAACTGATAATTTTTTCTTCAATTAATAGTCTCTAGAAAACACACTTTTTTAATTGGATATCAGCATTTTTCTTAACTAGATATCAAACGCGATATGAATCCAGCATAAGGCCAATAAAATTGTTGCCAACTTAAAAGATCTTTTGGCGCGATCATGACAATTGTGTTTATTTCTTGCCAGTCCACTTATTATATTGGACAAATTATTTGTCCGTTGAATAATATTTGTATTGTAGATATAGTCCAAAACAGTATTTAAAAGATTATTTAATAACTCATAATTCAAACTTTGCTTTTATTACAAAATCTATGATGATGTTTGTAGAAAGTGAGTGTAATATTTATTATGCAGCATATTGCGCATCTTTTTTGTGTTGAATTCATATGTTTTTACATTGTAACACTTTAAAGCAGCAAATTTCTGTTTCGTTACACAAATTTAACATTTAAAAATCTAATTGCTAAGTATTTTCTCATTAGATTCCAGAAGATTAAAATACCAATTATTTTTTCTATCATTCTCATTGTAAACGCGAAAGTGCTCTGAAAGTGGTATCAGAGTAAAAGTCGCGCCAGTCTCTCGCTAGTGAGTTCGTGTTACGTTCGCGCTTTAATTCAGGTTGTTCTAGCGCGCGATAAGAAACCATCGAGATTGTCCACGAAAATTGATGGTTACATCTCGCAGCAAGTTACTTTTATTGTCCCTGCGGATGCGCCTATTGCGCGCGCGTAATACGGGCGTGCATAGTACAGCTGTACATTTTGCAAACGCAAGACAACGCGATATAAAGTCCGCAATACACGTCTGTGCGCGGCGCGCGTCACGAGAGGGGCGCCGCATAAACGTGGAACGAGGGCGACCATGTGACCGGCGGCCGGCCAATCAGCTGTTTAGCTTTGTCGTACCGCCAAGCTCATTTCCAGTCCGTGTGCACGCGGAAGCTGCGGGAACGACTGGTTGCAGGTAGAGCGCGAATATTCCGGAGCCGTGCAAATTATGCGCGTCCGATCGCGATAGAGAAGACGCCGAATTGCCACAGCTGACAGGTCGAATCGCTCACGCGGCGCGCGACACCTCGCAAATCACCGTCGCAAATGCTTTTATATGCGGAGTCGCCATTTTGGTGATACGGCGAGCCGACGATCTGAGCAAAGTGTAGCCCTATGATCTTTTTATTTTTCTTTTGTGCACGGCCCATCCGCAGAATCGTCCTCAGCCGATTGACGGCGCAATAACGCTGGAGATGACACAGCAAAATAAAACGATGAACTTCCTAATACACGACGCTAACGGTAAGTGGATTCGCGGTGCGCGCCAACGCACAGTCGGCACACGCGTGACCCTTGTCGTGTTTCTCTCGGCTTCGTCCTTTCTTCAACGGCGTATAAAATTTGGCTATCGCGGCATACGCTCGCCCGTGAACGCCTCTCGCCTTGCTGTCGCGCACTGATCACCGAAATCGCACCCGCTTGCGAATTTATGCACGCTTCCTCCGAACTCGGTCTGGTTTGTTGAAGCCACAAGCACAGCTTTCCTATTTCAATCAATTTTGACAATTATTTGGATTTGTTTTCGTGTTTTACATTGTAACTTCATTATAATGTCGGTTATCTCATTAGTTCATATGCAAGATATGCAGTCAGTCGCGAAAGCAAATTTTATCGAACAAAGAGATTGGACGATGTATACTTTGTTGTAATTATATTTCTCTCTTGTTTTTCGTTTATCAAGTATTGTTTGATAAAATGCAGCACTGATAAGATTGCCCAAGAAGCTGTCTATTGCACTTTTGAAAATGGTATATTTTTATACACACTTATATTGCAAACTTACTACTGTTCAAGTTCCATTGTGTTTGCTATGATACTTCAATGTTGATCTTTTATTTTTGTGTTTGAAACAAGAAGAAGGACATAACTTTGTACTTTCTATAACATATTATTTGTACGGATAAGAAAGTTGAAATATTGCTAGTATTAGATAATTTCTAAGTATTAAAGATTATTCAATACTTTAGGTTTGCACAGGTACATTTCCATCTGTTTGTCTTAGGTGTCACATCTATAATATGAACTGACAATTCCTAAACTTGTTTATTGATAACTTGTATAAATACTATTGATATACACGAAAGATTTTGTGACTTTATGTAAATTATAAGATAATACATGTAAGTTATATGCTTTTTCAGATGCATTTTGAAAGGCATTACTTATGAAATAAATGTATTAATATAAATCAAAGACAGGTTTTATTGAGGTAAAACTATTTATGAAAATATGCATTTTCTTTGTTAATGATGATTGAATAATTAATTCCACAACAGTCTTAGTAATACATTTTCAGTTTTATTTACTTAAAGTGCATAAAATTTTTGCAGTTTACGGTATATATGATAAAACAATACATTTATTAGAATATATATTTAAATTATCATACATATATATTTAAATTTTGTTATGACTAAAGTTAATATCTGAAGACATATTACAATGTTATATTAGATCTGATTTGTCTTGTTTAAAAATTTTTTGCAAAATATTATCTAAAAATTTACAAGTAATTATAGATGAGTTAAATTCATTACAGGACACCCACAAGTGATAAAAGTAGTGCAAAGTACACCTAATAAAGCATTAAGTGGTATTGTTAGCACAACAAATGCAGGTGGCCTTAAAGTGTTTAAAGCTCCTAACCAAGAATCACAGGTACTTACCTCAATTTTATGACTCATTTACAACAACACTTTAGTGTTGCCTCAAATGCAGAGGTTATATACTCTTACTACTCTACATTGTAATCTTATAACATGTAAAGTTTAATTTCACAAATATATATCATTTGAAAATATACTCTTTAGGATAGTTCTCCAACATCTCTTACTGCAATAACATTTGCAGTAATCAAATTGTCATAAATATTATATAAATATATATATATTGTTCTAACTAGGTTTTATCATCAAATACACAAGTTCTCAGAACCATCAGTTTGCAGAGTCCAGCTACACCCAGTCAAAGTAAGCATATTTTACCTAAAAAATGGTTTTTTTCACATAATTACAAGTAATATCATTGCACAAAATTATAATGTATGTTATATAGGATTGGTAACAATACCTGTGCAAAATACTAAAATGGCAACATCAAAAGCAGGGGAATCTGTAATGACCAAGACTATACAATTGACTTCTGCACAAATGGTATATATATAATTTAATAACAATTTAACAAAAAAATATTAACTTTTACAGTGAATAAGTTTAATATTTTATTTTAGAGCGATATAAAACAGGCTATTGTGGTCCAACAACAACAAAATCAGCAGCAGCAGCAGCAGCAGCAACAACAGCAGCAATCTAACACCTCTCAACTTGTCAAAGATACTGCGGGAAAAACCTTTATCAGTCCAATATTGGATCACAGTGGATCTAGGAAAAGGCAGGACATTGAAAGTGGCGACTTCGTGCCTGAGTAATACAGTGTTTTTTATCACACATTTAATTGCACACAATTGAAACAAAAACATGTTCCACTTTTTTTTGTGATCTCAAGATATACTGTGCATCTATAACACTGAATTATGAATGTCAATTTATATTGTAAGTTGTTTATTATTTAACAAAATATAATTTTTATATTTTCTTAAATGAAACATCTTACAATAATGAAACATCTCTCTTGCGAGAAAATAATAATTTTTAATATTTGTATTGCAGTAAACGAAGAAAAACGGAAAAAGTTGGTAAAGGATTGAGACATTTTTCAATGAAAGTTTGTGAAAAAGTGAAGAAGAAAGGTACCACTTCTTATAATGAAGTAGCAGATGAACTGGTTGGTGAATTCACTAATCCAGCTCACATAAATTCTCTGGCAGATCAGGTATTGTATTTATTTCGTAATTTCTATTCGTAAAATAAGTTGTAAACATAAAAAAATAGTCATATTTATCGATGAAATTTGTAATCTTTTTCAGCAGTACGATCAGAAAAATATCAGAAGACGCGTATACGATGCTCTGAACGTGTTAATGGCAATGAATATCATCTCCAAAGAGAAAAAAGAGATCAGGTGGATTGGTCTACCTACTAATTCATTGCAGGAATGTGTGGCATTAGAAAAGGATAAAAAGAAGAAGATCGAAAGAATTAAAGCTAAAACGCAACAGTTACATCAGCTTATTCTTTCTCACATTTCATTCAAGAATTTAGTTGAACGTAATCGTTCAAATGAGAATCTTCGCGGGCCACCAAAACCTAATTCTGCCATACAGCTGCCATTCCTCATTGTGAATACCAGTAAAAAGACTGTCATAGATTGCAGCATTTCAAATGACAAGTATGTTGCAATTAATTAATAATTATCGCGACAATCACGCGTAAAATTTAATAACTAGTAAGTATTGCGAATAAATTAGAGGAGAGTTTGTAATCCAGTTATTTTTACAGAACTGAGTACCTGTTTAATTTTAATGATAAGTTTGAAATTCATGACGATATCGAAGTTCTAAAGCAAATGGGTTTAGCTTTCGGTAAAATACTACTGAAATTATACTTTTTACAATATAAATATTCATTGTTTTATTTATTGTGAAAGATAAAATCTCCTTTTAGGATTGGAGAAAGGGGAGTGCACTGAAGAAAACTTACGAAAGGCAAAATCAATGGTTCCAAAATCGCTTGAGAAATATGTCGAACGTACGTTGTTTGTTATACGTATTGTATATGTGAATTAACGTCAGTCTACTCGTCTAACAGCGACGATTGTTACAGAATTGGCTTCAGGAGACTTAGAAAAGTTTATTCCAGTAACTATCCCTGGTCCAAGTACATCAATGGAAGATTTAGACATGAAATTGGAGGGTTCTCGGCCACCATCGTCATCACATACTTCATTATCAGAAGATCCTTTATCTCCTCCGTCACAGTACTTTTCAGAAGAGGATGATGAAGAGGAAGAAAGTGACCAGGACGATCAAGCTGAAAGTGATCTTGAAGCTAACTAGCACCCCGAATAACTTTTTAAAGGCTAGACTCAGGGTTTGTATATCACTTATTACACTCATACAAACTATTCTTCATACTGTACACTATGATTAGCTCTAATAATTATCGATTTGCAAAACTATTTCAATACACATTAATAACAAATGTAATGAAAAACTTGAAAATCCGATGTTAAATTAGAATTGAAAAAATTCTCTGTTGTATAATATTTTAGGATATTCGCCACTATCATCAGCGATGTCAACATTAACAATATTGCCGCTGTTGCCAATGTCGTCTTCACCCCGATCGCCAGTTAACACACATCGAACAAGGATATGAATTAATAATTAATAACACAAGTGGAAAGTAAATCAGTTGAAGTAAATGAAAATGGTCAAAAGACAGATATATTGATTGGGGCCAAGAAGAAAACATAGCAATTAATTGGGCTGAATAAATTGGCAAGTGGCTCTTTTTTCGTATCAAGTAATAAGATAAATACGATGCACGCGCTAAAATGATCAGAATAAACAAATGCAGAATGACTGAGATAATGGGGTGCTATATTTTAACTGTGCATCGTCATACAAGTTTATATGACTAGCGTCTATGTATTATAAATTATAATCTTACAGTATCAATATTATTATGTGTACAAGGCATATTGACCAGTACTCTCATTTTCTTATGGCACGTTTATAATAACAATTGTCTGTGGTATGCAGTAAAGTGACATATGATAGATACAGACACACATCTGACTCGAATTAAAAATACAAATAAATTGTAATAATGTTACAACATGAAGTTTGTAGTTTGTGGTTAGTCTTTTAAAAAAAGAAGGGATATGTATTAAATAACGAACGACATTATGTAAGGGTTTGCAGTAGTTTTATACAGCAAACTTAAAAAATGAAATGTTTTTTCATATCTATTATATATATATATATAAACATATAATACATAATGGCTGCGTTCAGCAGCAGAAAGAACAATTTTGCAATTTGGTGTAACTTTTTATTTTGATCACCTTTTGTTTCTTTTACAACTAATATTCCAATAGTATTATGTATATGTATTAGTAATATGTGAAAATTGATGTAATTGTATTGACAATATTGTGCTGAACAAAAAATGTGTGCTGTAAAGCATGAGTAGGCACTATTTTCAAGTAACCTATCAAGAAAATGATGTTTAGTGTAGTTTTCAAGTTGATAATACAGCACCAAGTATTAACTTAGCACTTACTGTCTTCTGCTGAACGCAACTGACACCAAGATGTCCATTTGATTCTTTATACATTACAATCACATTTTGCATGGACTTAAGAGCAGAAAACAAGAAGTTTTTTGCTTTAATACTAAGTTAAATGCAGTCTATACAAAAGCACTGCGTAGTTTAACTCCCTAGGAATGCTTCACTCCAAGTCATCATCATCATAAAGATCATCAAACTCTGAAATGAAATGATTATTTCAATAAACTAACCGTATATTCTGTTAATTGGGATTATTGTTTACAGAAAAAAATGATATTCCCTGATCTTCAATGAAATTATGCAGAGACATCGTTAATATATTATTAAAAGTTTAAATAATCAGTATACCGTTTAAAAAATCTGAATGGACTCGATCCTCGCTAAGGTCAGAAAAAAAAATTGCTCCTTGTTTTGATACGACAATGCTAGACATGTCTTTACGTAAATTGGTTTTTTGTAAATTGGTTTTTTGTAAATTGGTTCTTTGTAAAGAGTCTGAACAAGATTTGTTGTTGTTAATAGAAAAAGAACGTTCTTCTTGTTTTGCTGCAGAATTTTGATGGAAAATAACGAAAAATTAATGTAGAATTAAATGGAAATTAATCATACAATTAATGTTATAAAATTCAATAAGTTTGAACAAGTACCGTTGAAAAATTCTGAGTGAACAGCTTTTTCACTTGCTGTGAGATCCACTAATAATCTACTGCCGCCAACCTAAAATTAAAAAAACTATATGCAAAAATCTTACATTATTATATTACAACTCGAACAAATAACATTGCAAAATATAATTGATATGGTAAAACAATTTGATAATGATATCATGGTAAACAATTTAACCTATAATTTTCTAACCACGTCAAAATAATATGTATTACCTCTTCCAATTCAACGTAAGGCCCAGCTCCTTCGGGAAACATTTCATCAGCTACGAGTGTTGGCTTCATGCTGAAATATATATCAATTATCCAACTCTTATTACCTTTTATCGGCTATATTATATATATTTTCCTAGCACACTTCTATACGCAAGACGTTGCTGCACGCTATTGGTACGCTCTCTCGAGCTGTCACACAACGACGCTTCCACACAACGAAGAACAGCATTCAATACGAGAGCCAATTGATTTATTTTTAAAACACAGAATATGATGAATATTTTAAAACTTCCTTTAATTATTTTGTTAAAAAATTATTACGTTAATTGAAATAGAATTTATATTGGTTACATTTTTCTACTTATATTCATTTCTTTAATATGTTTAAGACACAGTTCTGATATGAGTTTTTTATGTTAATTTTAATAAACAAACAAGTATTCGTTTTATGTTTGTAAAGCGAAATTAAAAAATATATAGTTCTCTTTTTCTCTTTCATGTATTTATGTATATACTTTTTGCTAAATTGTGTCTCGATTCTAATAATAAACTTCACACAAGTTCAAAGTTAATGCAGACTCGTCCATGAGCATCAATATATATATGTATATAGGAATATACAGGAAGATGGCGCTTTAGCTATTTCCACAATTTCATATCAGCTGATGACATATGACCTGTCTGTCCGAAGGTCCGAAGCATGGCCATTAATGTTGATTAATGTGATACCACTTCTTTAATTTTTTCTGTGTCTGTGAACAGTGTACCCGGCAAAACGCAGATACTTCGAGAGGCATTTTTTAAATTTTTTATTTGTTATAATTTTTCGTGGTTGTCATTATCTTATAAGTAGAGAGAACAGAACAAATACAATCACTGCAGTTAACGCGATATTCAATCAATCACAAGTTTAATCAAATCACATCAAAATGAGTAGCCCAAAAACAGTACCAAACAGTATCAAGTTTCTCATCGGTGGGACTTCTGGGTTTGTATTTTTTTTTTTTAAGTTTTGAACATTTGTGAATAAATGGTTATAAAACAATTTTAGGAAAATAAATGTGCATTACTCTGTGATAATTTTGTGTTTCATAATCACTGGATTGAAGGTCAAGTGTTCCAGATTTCTTAGATTTCACAAGAATTCTCATTAATTACTTAACAAAAATTATTTAACTTAATAATGAAAATTTAATGTTGTTTTTTATGATGATGCAATATGTATATTTATCTTGATAGCACGCTATAAATAGTAGCAATCTTAAATAACCAGCTCTTCTTATGCACTCTATTAAGGAATGTTGTATTAAATTTTCTAATTTGAAAATATATATTTATGAAATAATTCTTATATATTACTGTAATTTTTGTTAATAAATTAATTTTATTATTACAAGATGAAAAAGATATAAAAAGTAAATTTATTATAATTTTTTGAATTAAGATAAAAAATTATGAAATATTATCAGAATATGCTTACATGATTTCCATAAAATATGATTTTGATTATATATTACAATGTTTAATACATATATAAAAAATTATTGCAAAATTTCTCAGTTCAAAAATGATCTAACAAATATAGAATTTGTATTTGTTTAATAATAAATAGTGGCTAAATCAATGTATATAATTGCAGCATGGCAGCAACATGTTTCGTACAGCCATTGGACTTAATAAAAAATCGTATGCAGTTAAGCGGCACTAAAACATCAACTGTAAGTGTAACATCATCAATCTTGAAAAATGAAGGCGTTTTAGCATTATACTCGGGTTTATCTGCTGGTTTAATGCGGCAAGCCACATATACCACCACTAGACTTGGTATATACACTTGGCTTATAGAACTTGCCTCGTAAGTATAACTTGTGATAACACATAATATATAATTGTATAAGAATTGTGTTGAAGAAAACATATTACAAAAATATATTTGCTTTCTTCAGGAAAGATGCCCAACCAAGTTTTATCGTAAAAGCACTACTTGGCATGACAGCAGGTTCTGTTGGAGCATTTGTAGGTACACCCGCTGAAGTAGCTTTAATTAGAATGACTGCTGATGGAAGACTGCCTATTGGTAAATTTATATTTTTCCATACAATATGGCTATATCACTTGGAAACATATAATTATTGTAGGATTCAAATCTTTTCAGCTGATAGACGCAATTACAAAAATGTGTTCGATGCGTTATTCCGTATAATTAGAGAAGAAGGCCTCTTTACTTTATGGCGTGGTGCCATTCCCACTATGGGACGTGCTATGGTTGTAAACGCAGCGCAATTAGCATCATACTCGCAGGCAAAACAGGCTTTATTAGATACAGGTAAGACATGTAAAAATATTGTATAATTATTAGATATGTGTTGTAGAATTATAATATACATATAAATATTAATTATGATAATGATAATGACAATGCTGATATATGTATATGTGCATACGCGTGCGTGTGCATACACAAACATATATATATATATTTTTTTTCTTTTTAAAATAGGATATTTTGAGGAAAATATTCTATTGCACTTTACAAGCTCCATGATTTCTGGTTTAGTCACCACTGCTGCATCTATGCCTGTAGATATAGCGAAAACTAGGTAAATTATACAATAAATTCAAAATTATATATTTAAAATTTATAAACCCGCATTCTTAACTTTAGATTTATATTTATACTATTTTTTTAGGATTCAAAACATGAAAACTATAGATGGCAAACCAGAATTTACAGGTGCAATTGACGTCCTAACTAAAGTTGTAAGAAACGAAGGACCATTTGCATTGTGGAAAGGGTTCTTCCCGTATTATGCCCGTCTGGGACCGCATACGGTCTTAACATTCATTTTCCTAGAGCAAATGACTGCCGCTTATAAAACATATTTATAGTTGTGTATTGACAAATATCCGCCATTAACGATTTAAATGCAGGTGGCATATGTTATTATTTTTTTAGTTATTTGCCATATATCTTTACAATCATTATTTGCCATATACTTTCTCAATCATTATTTTTGTAATAAGTTTATTTTTGCAACATATTATATGCGTATGTTTGTCGTTAAAAAGTACGCACACGATTGTAATATCATTTATATGTATCATATACTAGGGAAAGTTAAAAACTAAGAGACATTTTCTGTTGATTTAAAAATCAAAGAAGCCCTTTTATTTTTTTATTTTTCTTTGTATAGATATAACATAAAAATACATACATAAAATTTATTTCATTATAAACAAAAAAAATTACATATATAGAAGTTTTGAAAAGATATTGGTTACAAACATTAAAATTTCAGAGTTACAAAACATATTTTTTTATTATTTTAATAAAAACAACATAAAGATATAAATTTCCAATGTAGTACGAGCAACTTGTATTTCCATGGCATTTTAAAATTCTCAGCAATAAAATTTAATATATGTATAATATATTAGGATATTTTAGGCTTCCAAAGAGGGGATACGTTTTATGATAGGAATGAGAGTATAGAGAGAATACATTTTATGATAGGAATGAGAGCTCGTCTGGTACGAACTCTGACTTTATATATGTATATCATTTACAATTAGTTTAGCCATCCATTGTTATTCTCATATTATTTTATATAAAATTTGTTTTATAGAGATATTGTCTCCTATGATGAGATGAGATGTGTAGTTATTGTTGATAGACACAAATTGATGTACTAATACAACGTTAAAAAAATGCAAAGTGTGTCAATAATATTGTATATTATAAAATAGCAAATATTTAGTAATAAAAAATCATCATATTTTGAATGTAAATCATTTCTGTTGCGTTTTATTTTCAACTCGAATTAGTACCTATATAATTAAAATATATTTTATTAAGTTTATTAATTTTTTATGAGATTTAGTGTTTAAAAAAATAGCAAATTACATATTTTTTATATTATAATATAAAATTTACTTGATATAATTATTATTTAAGAAAATATGTAAACATTTGTTAGATAATAAATAGCAAACATTGGAAGAGGTGTGAATCAGATTATGATGACACGAATATCCGTAGTGCAGTTTGTTAATCTCATTAACATCTCGCTAAAAAGCATCCTAATCAGCGTGGCCAGATTTGAAACGCAAGAAGCAAGCAGCATGAATGCAGGGAAAACCATTGGCTAAAAAATGGTTTGAGTTTTGGTTAAAATGGTTTGAGTCTTGGCTTAAATGATTTGAATATTGCTTCAATGCAGTCAAATGATTCAAGATAAAAATAATTTTTGCATAAATTATAATATAATTTTTTTATTAATGTCTCATCATGTTATAATGCATACAGATAATGCGAGATCAAAATAACCTTTCAGTGCATAAATTTGCCGCCAAAAGTGACAGCAAAATATGGACATTCTTATCATGTCACACAATTATATAGTAAAATTTAAAATTTAAATTAATAATTGAGTAACATCACGTAAGTTATAAAAATTATTCAATGTAATTGAAATATATTGTCAATCTTGACTTTAAAATTGTACAAGATACAGTGCTTTTTTTATGTTTGAGGTTATAAGCACTATGCTACTATGCTAACAATATAATTTAATGTTTAAATAAATTTAATAATTAGGATTGAAAATATAGAAAATTGAAGCTTAAAATATAAGTTATTTTATATTAAACTTGCTGTAACAAATATAATACATAACTTGTTAAGAAAACAATACTCTGAAAATGTTGTAACTTTATGTAATTAATAAATTTTTTTTTAGTGTATTTATTGCATAATAAATATGCTTAAGTATGAGTAACTTGATATAACCATGTCAAAGAAAAAAAGAGATCATGATTGGGGTGAAAATGGCTTTGAAGATTGGGTAAATATATAGACTATTAATATTTTATTACATTTATCCGTTTATTCTGTTAAATTAAAAGATACTTTATTTTTATTGTTAGATTACTTTATTTTTTTATTATTCTTGATTTATATATTCTGTTAATATATTTCAGGGTGGTTATATGGCTGCAAAGAAAGCTAAATTGGAGGAACAATTTCGAGATACAGCCAGCAAAGAGTTTAAAGAAACATCAAAATTATTTGAAGGAATTGCAATATTTGTGAATGGTTACACAGATCCAACATCTGATGAGCTTAGACGTCTAATGATGATGCACGGAGGTGTGTATCATCACTATATGCGTCCTAAGATCACAACTCACATCATAGCATCCAATCTGCCGCATTCTAAAATAACGTTATACAGAAAGAGTCAAAATCCAATTCCTATATGCAAGCCACAATGGATCACCGATAGCATAGCAGCTGGAAAAATATTGAATTTTCAGAATTATTTGCTTTATTCTAATAGCACTAACACACAACCTCAGCTGATATATAAATTAGATATAAACAAAAAGGATAAACAAGAGATTGAAAAGTCTAAAACTTCTGTAAGTATTGTTAACAATGAAAATATATCAAAACACAGTGCATCTAATAATGCATTGCAATATGACACAGCTAGCACTTGTCAATCCACAAGTACAAAAACAAACGCACAATGCACAAGAGATGCTGAATTTTTGTCGGCATTTTACAGTAATTCGAGATTACATTATATCGCCACCATGGGAACCACTTTTAAAGATTATGTCAATGAGTTGAGGGATAAAAGTGACGGGACGTTTCTCGGATGTGAGCGTTTAGCAAAATTGAAAAGAGCCAAAAATGTTTTAGCTTTAGCTGATCATGAATCAGATTCTGAGGATGAAATAATTTGCCTTGGAGATGGCAATAAGATAAAACAGAAGCAAGAACCTGTTATAATGCACATTGATATGGACTGCTTTTTCGTGTCTGTGGGGATTAGAAATAGACCGGAATTGCAAGGACTACCAGTAGCGGTAACGCACGCAAAAGGCAATACGTTTTCAGCAAATTATGATGGCAAAGAAGATTTTGGATCGTTATCGGAAGTAGCTTCATGCTCGTACGCGGCCAGAAAGGCTGGCGTGAAAAATGGCATGTTTTTGGGAGAAGCGTTGAAGCTGTGTCCGAATCTAAAGACGATTCAGTACGATTTCGAAGGTTACAAGGAAGTTTCCTACATATTATACGATACTGTAGCATCCTATACATTAGATATTGAAGCAGTGAGTTGCGACGAGATGTATGTGGATTGTACGAAAATTTGTGAAATGTCTGGGCTTTCACCGTTGGAATTTGCCACTATAATTAGAGAAGAAATAAAGCAGAAAACAGGTTGTGCAGTGTCCACGGGATTCGGGAATAACAAGCTGCAGGCGAGATTGGCAACGAGAAAAGCCAAACCCGACAATCAATTTTACCTAAGTAGTCAAGATGCGGAAACATATATTCAGTCTCTTAATGTACGAGATTTACCAGGTACGTTTCATGATTGACTAATGTTTACAATATTGACAAAATCTATATTCTATATTTAAAAATGTAAATTTTTTTTTAACGAGAATATTTTGCTTTTATTGAAACATTATGCGTGTAATTTTTATTTGAGTGATGATCATTATTTTAATTATAATAAATTTAATTCGCCTTTACTTTTTATTCTAGGAGTTGGTAGAACAACGACACATAAGCTACATGAAATGAATGTACGTACGTGCGGGGAATTACAGAAGATTTCGTTGGGAGTTTTACAGAAGGACTTCGGTAAAAAGATAGGAGAGCAATTGCACAAAATGTGCCGCGGCTTGGACGACACAAAGCTGAATCTGGAACATGTTAGGAAATCGGTATCCGCTGAAGTTAATTATGGCATAAGATTTCAGAACAACGGCGATGCCATCGAGTTTTTGAGCAAGTTATCTACAGAGGTCTGTAACCGATTAACGGCAGCTCGCGCAAAGGGCAGATGCATCACGTTAAAACTCATGATCAGAGCGGAGGAAGCACCGAAAGAAGCCGCGAAGTTCATGGGTCATGGCCTCTGCAATTATTTAACGAAATCAAAGAATCTTATAGCGGCCGTTGATGACGTCAGTATTATTAAAAAGTAAGTTTCACTGCTATAATTTATTACATGATAATCTTTTATACTAGATTTCGCAAGATTATAAGGCAATGTTTTCTTTACAATGCAGAGAAGTTATAAGCATTTGGAACCAGTTGCATTTGACACCCGAGGACATGAGAGGAATCGGCATACAAATCTCCAGACTAGAAGTATGCAAGACTAAGCAGAATAAAAGCAATTTGATAAATTTTTTTAATAAAACGGAGAAGCTGCAAACGTGTGAGAAAACATCGGAAAACGATGATCAATGTGACTCGGAATGTAGCAAAGAATCTAAACTGATGAGTTTTAAAGTGCCTTTGAGTAATGAATTATCATTAGCAACGAAAAATACTTGTGATAAAAAAAGTAATATTTTGCAGCCGGAATCGGCACAACTTTCTGAATCTATACACAACGCTGAACATACAGCTGTTCCGCCTGATACTCAAGCCGAACCGTCGACATTTGCAGTTAAAGCGAAAAATAAAAAATCAACCAATCATAAGGCAAACGACAATGTTACTAAAGTGAAAGACTTGTCTGGAAAATCAAGTAAGAAACCAGTACAACGACAGACATCGCAGGAGAACTTTTTTAAACAAGTGAAACCAAATAGTGGAAAATCATCAAAATATGAAGTGCCACGAATGCAAGACATCGATATGTCGGTGTTAATCGAGCTACCCACAGATATAAGAAATGAGATACTTGACGAATACAAACGAAGTAAGAAACAGCCTCAAACAGCAGCAGATGACACAAATATAGCTAAGCCGGTGAATGAATTTTCGTGTAACAAAGAGAGTTCAAATATACAGGATTGTTCGCAAATTGATCCAGACGTTCTATCAGCTTTAATGGAAAGCGATTTGCATCCCGATGTACAGCGTGATGTACAGATGTACTGTAATATGAAAAAAGAAGCAAGTAGAGTAAATGGTAAAACAACAAAAAGCGATAATCCAAATAAGTCGACTGAGGAATTGCAAAGAGCGGGGCCGTCTTTAAAGATCGATAACGAAGATGTGAAATCTATTGTAAATAACAATTGTATAAATAAAAATGCACGTGTATCACAACGGGATACGATATTGCTGCATGCAAGAGAGCGACTATCGGAGGAAAATGATGCCAACGAAGCAAAATTCGCATCGTGTCAAATTAATCATGTTGAAATTTCAGGCAATAATGCTGTGGTGGATAAAGCCGATACCTTTATTTTACAGAATTTAAGTATTTTACATAACAATGAGAACGTAGATAAACATCAGGAAATGCTGATTAATCTCGTGAATCATCTCTTCACCCTTCCATTACAACAGGTACCACTATAATTATTCGTCAAGATAGAAATTATTAAATAGGAACTCAATTCTCTCTCGTTATACTTTTGAGATCTGATGCACGCAACTGTTATAATCCCGATTTGATATTAAACCGCAACGTTATATAAAACTACCTCTTAGCAAGTAATACAAATTTTTTACCTGTTATTGCCACAATATTGACGTGTATTAGATTCCTTTTCTCTATTTAACGAATTTTATGTTCTACAAAAAAAGATGGCAAACTGATGTGAGCTTTTTATTTTTCAAAGGGTGATGTCTTTTTTTTTATCCACGAATGTTCGGTGTTCAGATCTCTCAATCTGTGTAAAAGCAGCACATGTAAAATATTAGTACGTGAATTGCGAATATGACCATCATGCCGAACATTAAATGGTAACTGTGACATTGGCACAGTAACGAGTAAAACCATGGAAGATTCGTATCTGGTGATTTAAAAACTGATGTCAATAATATTCCATGAAAATTATTTTAGCTTATCACAGTACGTTGCGCGGTGCGATTTTATTTCGGTATTTTCATTTTTTGGATTCATCCTTATTGTACACTTAGAAATAATAACTTTGAAAACTTAGATCTAGTTTACAAACAAACGTGTGCATTATTGACGCTCTCTTTTCTTTTTTTTTTTATACGTGTACCGTCGAAATAAATATTAATATGAAGCTCTCTCTTAAACTACATTCAATAATTAACAAAAGAGTAAAAGTTAAACAGATATCTTTAGCAGAATTCAAAAAATTCCTATTAAAAATGATCAATATATAAGTGCATACTTAAACATTGATTT